TACGTTTATGTATATTGTATGTTTATATCTCACCTCCCATGGGTCACACTGATAATGTGCATAGCACCAAATCTGGGACGAGTATCTGTGAAGCTAATAGAAGCAAGGCGCATGACGTTTATGTATATTGTATATATATATCTCACCTACCAAGGGTCACATTCATAACGTGCATAGGACAAAATCCGGAACGAGTATCTGTGAAACTAATAGAAGCAAGGTGCATTACGTTTATGTATATCGTATGTATATATCTCACCTACCAAGGGTCACATTCATAACGTGCATAGGACAAAACCCGGAACGAGTATCTGTGAAACTAATAGAAGCAAGGTGCATTACGTTTTTGTATATTGTATGTTTATGTCTCACCTACCAGGAGTCACACTGATGACGTGCATAGGACACAATCTAGGACGAGTATCTGTGAAACTAATAGAAGCAAGGTGCATTACGTTTATGTATATTGTATGTTTATATCTCACCTACCAGGAGTCACACTGATGACGTGCATAGGACAAAATCTGGGACGAGTATCAGTGAAGCTAATAGAGGCAAGGTGCATTACCTTTATCTATATTGTATGTTTATATCTCACCTGCCAAGGGTCACACTGATAATGTACATAAGCAAGGTGCATTACGTTTATATATATTGTATGTTTATGTCTCACCTGCCAAGGGGCACATTGATAATGTACATAAGCAAGGTGCATTACGTTTATATATATTGTAGGTTTATATCGCACCTGCCATTGTCACAACGATAACGAGCATAGGACAAAATCTGGGACGAGTATCTTGTGAAGCTAATGAAGACAAGGTGCATTACGTTTATGTGTATTGTATGTTTATATCTCATGGCCAAATCACACTCGTGTCACATATACCTCTGTGGCATACTCGCGACTGGCGAAAATTCGTAAATTCACCCACTCAGTTCAGGTACAATTTTGATGTGAAACACAAACACGTGGTGATATGCCAGGAAGTGCATTGGGGTTATAGACAACACAGTCTATCTGCGCCTTTTTGTTTAGATCAGAAGCAAGGTTGTACCGTCATAAATTACGGCGTCTTTCTATGACAATAGTGTAGCTTATGTGAACAGTTAACGTGGGTCGCTGACACATTGGAAATATTCCACTGGAGAGTTCGTTTTTTGTCGCATCTTCTTAACTGATGTTTGAAGCAATTAATATTTCCCGGCGTAACATTTGATCACATTCACCACTCACTCCTATGGATATAGCGTGGGGAAATTATTCAGTGTTTACTGGCCTTCCACAAACCACATTCTACCACGACTTCAGTAAACACTGGATTGTGATTGGTTAATTAAAGTCATTCAGAGGTATATAATCATGTTATACAGGTCTCTGATTTTCCGTGCGCCATTATACATGGTTTACGGTAATGCACTATTATTGTCTGCCCACCAACATGGCGGACACCAAACAGCCTACCGATGCATCGATACATTACGGCATGGAAACAAATATTCAGTCGAACAAGATCAAAACATCGTCTGCTTTCCGAATAAACATTCAGCAAGAAAAATATGTTGACGTTGATTCTATGTTATGTCAAAAAAGATGAAGCAATAGACTGCTACATAGTTTCCTTATTAAATTTACTATCAGCTTTCAACGATATCGCCACTGATCTTGATCCGGTAACGGAGGATGCATTAACATTGAACGCCGAAGAAATGTTAATGCCTTCCGTCCACATTAAATAAACAGTTGGGTTATCAATTCAAACAAAATGATATATTTTTGAGAAATTTAAAACACAATTACAGAATCTGCAAAACGTTCTGTTTAGCCCAACATATTTTTTCTAAAAATATAATATCGTTGAAAAAATGACTGAGCTTAGTCATGATCCCTCTTATCCATTACACTGCTTGATCTAAAGTAGTCTATTAAAGTATAATTAATGACCTTACCGTGTTTATGCCAGAGGTACACCCTCATGTCCTGTTCCATCCTTTCGGAAATATCACCACAAATCTGGCTCTTTGTCAACAGACTCGCGAACATGCCAGCGAATCCGATTCAATTTGAATCACTACACTTTGAAGCCTCTAGGTCACAAAACACTTTCCAAAATGTAAATAATAATATCCGTAGAATCGAATTTGAGCACAAAGTGCACACATGAGTGTGTAATAGTCACCAAAGTGACTCTTCTGTAGCACGCAGAAGTAGAAGTGCGTGAAATCCTCAAGTTGACAGGGCGCAAAATTCAACAGTATCTAAATACGGACTTCTCATTACAGCAAAAGCGCATCTACTCTTAAATTTTGTACCAGTACCAGTAATTAGATATCAAAGACTATCTCAGTCATACAATCAGGTTAACATTGCGCAAACTGTCAGAGGCTCTCCTGTCGCATCTTTCCAAATTTGCACGTAAATGTAAAGAATGACATCCGAGAAAAGGTCAAGGCCATGAGGTTGCTGCCATTTATTCTGGTGGGGAAAGGGTCTACGGTGGAATTTTCAAATGTGAACCAAGCTTTTAAAACTTATTTGATACATGTTTTCCAACTTATCAGTTAATGATTGGTGATTAATGCATTGGAAAAAACAAACGTTATTTGTTATCACTGAATCTGGAGTTTGTTAGTTATTGACGGTTTTCCACCAATCACCCCGTTTCGGGCGATGCCACTTGAGATTGGAATACGAGGCCACTTCACGTATTGACTCGTAACCAAAGAAAGAGTTCCAACTAAAATTGTTCATAATAATGTCCTGGTAGTTAGGAGATAAACCTACTGCGTTGGAAAATCAGACGTATATAACGAAATTATAATAGCTCTAAATTTCATTTAAAACCGAACGCGGTTTTAAATGAAATCTAGAGCTATTAAAATTTCGTTATATACCTCTGATTTTCCAACACAATAGGTTTTTCTACTATCTATATTTAGACAGGTTTTGTTTGGGCCCAAGGGACGCAACGAGTATACTGACTTCTGTGAATATGACACATCCTCCCGTGGATCTTGCCTCAACATCCTCGTGTAGAGCTGTCCTTGCCCTGCTCCCCTAGAATCAACACTTACACAGTCGACACGAACAGTGCTGCTTATAAACATGGAACTGGTATATTGGTTGGGATGAATACTTCTTCAGTTTCGTAACAAAGTCGCTTTGTTTTTTACGCGAAGCGTACACGGTTGTGTGTTCAAGAACGTCAGTTACAAGCGTTGATCGCTGATCAATATGGAAGGTCAGGGGTAAGTACTTGTTTCCCTCATTATTCTCTGTCAGTGCAGTGCTTTGTCCGTAGCCATCTTGTTTCTAAATGAGGCTCTGGTGACCCCCGCCGTGATGTTGCAGGAATATTGCTAAAACCGGCGTAAAACCAAACTTAGTCAGTAAGTCAGTCTAAATGAGGCGACATGGTCACGAGTGTACGTGTGTATGATGTTAACCACAGGAACGTAATCGTTGAATTTAAGAGAAATTAAAACAACAGCAACTTGTCTTTCGCTTTTAGTGTTGATATCATTCATCTAAATGCGACTGTCACTCAACTAAATGGACATTGTTGCGTCCCTTGCGAGGGCTAGAATCCATGAGTTTCGACATAATATTGATCCTTGGTTTGTGGGCAAAATGGTGATTTTGTAAGTAGCACTAAGCAGGCTCCTCGCACCAATGAATACAAACCGTCATAACATTCAAAACAGCGTTAAATCAAGCCCAACCTGTGATGCTTCATAGAACTCCCGAGGTTCTGGACTACCGGAATGAGAATGGCCATGGATGGTCCTTCTACAAAAATGACGGTCTTCTCCGGGCGATTGTTACAACCCCTGAGGATGACATGGAAATGATCCGAAAAGTTCAGAAATTTGAACTTAGGGTCGATGACTTCTTGATTGCAGCAAATCCCAAATGTGGTAAGAACCCATGCTAAACAGGTGTATTCTCTTCTTGCCTGCACTTTAATTGGTTATAAGCGGAATAGGATTCAGTCCATAGCTTGCAAACTTATAGTCTGTTCGAGTAAGTGGAGTTCACTAAACACAGTTCATAATGATTAGTGAAGTCAGTCATTTAAAGTAATCAAATATGACATGATGCATGGGGGTTAAGAAACAGCAATTTTAGTTTACGACAAGTCATTCTACAATGGCAGAGGCACGTATTCAATTTGTTCCCAATTCCTGGGGTGGCCAGAGTTCAGTATTCAATGGTTATCAGTTCAGAGTAAAATCAAGAAGAAACCAAACTGTCCACCGGAGATGCTGTAAGAAAGATTGTGTATTTGTTGATGTCACATGCAATATTAGTAAAGTTAAAAATGTCACCATATTTGTCAAATGATTCATATTCGTGTATTTATTGTATTGGCGGGTGTTATGTGAAACAAACGAAATGTTCATGCTTATTTGCTGGCATATATGCATTTCTAATATAGACCATAGATTTAATCACCATTGTTATAAGGATTACTACGGTCCACTGATTTTAATCCACAAACAATACCTGCAGGCAAAAAGAGAACGCTCCGCTTAACGCGTCCGCCCGGAGAGCGGAAGGTCGCGGGTTCGATCCCCGACCGCGTCATACCAAAAGACGTTAAAATATATGGTACTTGTTTGTCCCTGCCTGGCGCTCGGCATTAATGGGTACAACAAGGACGGGTCGGCTCGGAGTCAGTATAATGTGTCTGAGTGGGGTATTCATGCTTCACTGGGGCATGGTATCTCAGTGAGCTAGCACTATAAAATCAGCTTAAGTCTGGGCTAGTACAAGCAGCCGCACATACACATACACACCCATGCACGTCGTCATATGAGCGAAATATTCTCAAGCACGACGTTAAACCCAATTTCACCTCACCTCACCTATTATAACCTAACCTGGTTTGTGTTGTGTAGATCATGCTGGTCTAGACACAATACCATTCAAACAGATGTATACCCCAATTCACCCACTCACTTACATTATAAGTAATTGTCTATTTCGATCCCTTCAGGTACCCATTGGTTGTGGGAAATCGTCTCCATGATCAGGGCCGGTAACTCTGAGTACAACAAGAAGGCTAAGGAAATCGCCATGTTGGGGATGCCGAAGCTTGAGCGGGCTGATGAACTCCCCTCCCCGAGAGTTATAAATTCCCATCTATATTTCCGTCATCTGCCCGAGAAGCTGGTGGAGAAGAAAATAAAAACAATCTTCATCATGCGAAATCCCAAAGATGTTAGCGTATCCTATTATAACCATCTCAACGGACTAAAAGTGAGCGGTAGGTTTGACGGGACGTATTCAGAATTTCTGGATCTGTTTCTGGAAGGAAAAGGTGAGTGATGCTGATACGTCATACCAAGCCTCATGATCATAACATAGTGGGGTGGTATAATGAGTTTATAACCATACATTTACCTGTTTATATTAATCTGAAGGCATAATTGCTATATTTAATTAACAACAAAAAGAGAGTCCAAGTGAGAAACCAGATGCTGGGGTCAGGATATACCTTCTGTCATTTTCCAAGTTCATCAGATAAAAGTTGACACACGTTCTGTCTCCGTGAGGATGAAGTGTGTCTGTGGCGTCTGTGATTTCGGTTTTAGACTATGTGAGGTCCCGTGTCTGACGCCTGAATGCCCTAAAGTGCTCCTGTTAGAATGTAGGTTCAGATGTCCTGACGGGCTACTTTTAGAATGTAGGTTCAGATGCCCTGAAGTGCTCCTGTTATAAATGTAGCTTCATATTATGTCCTGAAGTGCTCCTGTTAGAATGTAGGTTCAGATGTCCTGAAGTGCTCCTGTTAGAATGTAGGTTCAGATGTCCTGAAGTGCTCCTGTTAGAATGTAGGTTCAGATGTCCTGAAGTGCTACTGTTAGACTGTAGGTTCAGATGCCCTGAGGTGCTCCTGTTAGAATGTAGGTTCAGATGTCCTGAAGTGCTAATGTTAGAATGTAGGTTCAGATGTCATGAAGTGCTCCTGTTAGAATGTAGGTTCAGATGTCCTGAAGTGCTACTGTTAGAATATAGGTTCAGATGTCCAGAAGTGCTACCGTTAGAATGTAGGTTCAGATGTCCTGAAGTGCTCCTGTTAGAATGTAGGCTCAGATGTCCTGAAGTGCTCCTGTTGGAATGTAGGTTCAGATGTCTTGAAGTGCTCCTGTTAGAATGTAGGTTCAGATGTCCAGAAGTGCTACCGTTAGAATGTAGGTTCAGATGTCCTGAAGTGCTCCTGTTAGAATATAGGTTCAGATGTCCAGAAGTGCTACCGTTAGAATGTAGGTTCAGATGTCCAGAAGTGCTACCGTTAGAATGTAGGTTCAGATGTCCTGAAGTGCTCCTGTTAAAATTTAGGTTCAGATTGCCCTGAAGTGCTCCTGTTAGAATGTAGGTTCAGATGCCCTGAAGTGCTCCTGTTAGAATGTAGGTTCAGATGTCCTGAAGTGCTACTGTTAGAATGTAGGTTCAGATGTCCTGAAGTGCTCCTGTTAGAATGTAGGTTCAGATGTCATGAAGTGCTACTGTTAGAATGTAGGTTCAGATGCCTGAAGTGCTACTGTTAGAATGTAGGTTCAGATGTCCTGAAGTGCTACTGTTAGAATGTAGGTTCAGATGTCCTGAAGTGCTCCTGTTAGAATGTAGCTTCAGATGTCCTGAAGTGCTACTGTTAGAATGTAGGTTCAGATGTCCAGAAGTGCTACCGTTAGAATGTAGGTTCAGATGTCCAGAAGTGCCACCGTTAGAATGTAGGTTCAGATGTCCTGAAGTGCTCCTGTTAAAATTTAGGTTCAGATTGCCATGAAGTGCTCCTGTTAGAATGTAGGTTCAGATGCCCTGAAGTGCTACTGTTAGAATGTAGGTTCAGATGTCCTGAAGTGCTCCTGTTAGAATGTAGGTTCAGATGTCATGAAGTGCTGCTGTGTGAATGTAGGTTCAGATGCCCTGAAGTGCTACTGTTAGAATGTAGGTTCAGATGTCCTGAAGTGCTCCTGTTAGAATGTAGGTTCAGATGTCATGAAGTGCTGCTGTGTGAATGTAGGTTCAGATGCCCTGAAGTGCTCCTGTTAGAATGTAGGTTCAGATGTCATGAAGTGCTACTGTTAGAATGTAGGTTCAGATGTCATGAAGTGCTACTGTTAGAATGTAGGTTCAGATGTCCTGAAGTGCTACTGTTAGAATGTAGGTTCAGATGTCATGAAGTGCTGCTGTGTGAATGTAGGTTCAGATGCCCTGAAGTGCTACTGTTAGAATGTAGGTTCAGATGTCATGAAGTGCTGCTGTGTGAATGAAGGTTCAGATGCCCTGAAGTGCTACTGTTAGAATGTAGGTTCAGATGTCATGAAGTGCTGCTGTGTGAATGTAGGTTCAGATGCCCTGAAGTGCTCCTGTTAGAATATAGGTTCAGATGTCCTGAAGTGTTACTTTTACAATGTAGGTTCAGGTGGACTGAAGTGCCTCTGTTAGAATGTAGGTTCAGATGCCCTGAAGTGCTACTGTTAGAATGTAGGTTCAGATGTCCTGAAGTGCTCCTGTTAGAATGTAGGTTCAGATGTCATGAAGTGCTACTGTTAGAATGTAGGTTCAGATGTCCTGAAGTGCTCCTGTTAGAATGTAGGTTCAGATGTCCTGAAGTGTTACTTTTACAATGTAGGTTCAGGTGGACTGAAGTGCCTCTGTTAGAATGTAGGTTCAGATGCCCTGAAGTGCTACTTTTACAATGTAGGCTCAGGTGGACTGAAGTGCCTCTGTTAGAATGTAGGTTCAGATGCCCTGAAGTGCAACTGCGTGAATGTGGGTTCAGATGCTCTGATTTATTACGGTGTGTCTGAATAGGTATTTACACGCTGTCAGAAGCTGATGTCATGTAAGCCACATGCTCCGACCTGAATGTTGGCTTGAAATGTTGCTGTGTCAGATCGTTGCTTCCCCTGTGCCATTATTTTCATCGACACATCCGGATACATACATACATGCCATATATAATGCCTTCCATGTTTCAGTGATATCTGGTGATTATGTCGACTACGTGAAGGATTGGCTGCAAGTGAAACAGGACAACCCGGACTTGCCAATGTTAACGTTGTTTTATGAAAACTTGAAAAAGGTTTGTAGTTGACCTAGATACCTTGTCATAATGGCTTGCTGGGTACACGGTTTGAAGATTTGAATGTAAACACTGGTGGTGCATCACAATAATTGATGACGTTCAGCAGGATACGTTTAATAAACTCGAAAGTCGCAGATAACTGCGCCATGTGCATGTCATCTGTTGAGGTGTTCATTGATATGATGCGTGTGATATTGCCTATAACACCCTTATCAAGTGTAGCAACATCGATCATCAATTTTTTTGCTTATTTGAAATACCATGAAACATAAGTGCCTAAATCCGTATGCCTGCCAAATGTATTGTACTGCTGTCACAGGGTTTGAGAAAATTGGCGAGTCTTTCGTTAGTTTGCATTTCTCGTTTATCAATCTGGTGATATATGGAAGGTATATCATTAGTTCCTTGGGTATATGATTATAAATCTTTAGGTAACTGTAATGGCGCTTATTTGGTATTTAAACGTACGTTTATCTTTAGTGTACTGGACTATCCATAATTCTATATTTCTATAACATTTTTTCGGGATGATAACCCTTATTTGGTTGATTTTAGGATCCTGTTAAAAACATCAGAACGGTTGCCGAGTTCCTTGGATTGTCTGTCAGTGATGAACTATGTGAGCAAATTGCAGAAGCGTGCAGCTTTAAGAAGATGAGGACGGCAGACACTGAAGTCAAGCAGCATACCGGTAATCCGTCCTACGTCTGGAAGGAAGGTCACCAAGGAATGTATAGAAAAAGGTGAGATTGGCCTTTGGCCCGGTTTGTCATTGTTTTATACGTGTCCCTCGTACGTTACATTAAGAACGAGGATAGAAAGGGTCTAAGTAGTAAGTACTAATGATGTTTCTTGTTTTGAGACATACGTGGGTTGTAGTAGGTTAATTTCCTGTCTCTAGAGCCTTATGCCTTCGGGTCCAAACAACGAACGTGCTCTTGCATTCTTCTTGTCGAAAGGGATTATCATTCGTGACCAACTCATGTTATTCCGGGACAAGCCGAATAGCTTGGAGTTTACGGAAAGGGGCGAGTGGTGACGAATGAGGGATTATGAGCAAGCATAATAGCATTTTCAAAACGTTTAAGGGCAAGGTTAACAGGATACCTGCCCTGCATCCGTGTAGTTACTCGAGGACGTCCTGGTCTCTGTTCATACAGTTCCGGTGGTTTGGTACCGTTGTCACAGCCGCCAAACACTATAGTGAGTTACATTGAAGTGGACCTCACGAATGACGTACTTAGGGAGGTAATCATGTATCACTGACTATCGTATATTACTTACCTTTGGACTTCATGTGCTATTTCAGGTGAGGTTGGGGATTGGAAGAACTGGATAACAGTTGCCCTGAACGAAAAATTTGATGACGTCATTGAGCGCCGATTTGAAGAAACGGGATTTGTATTCACGTATGAATAACGCGTTATATGGTGATCATGTGGTTGTGGACACTGAATGCAAAATAATATCCAGGATATATCTTTGAATAGTCATCTTCTTGTTGTATGTTCATGTCAAACCAGAGAATTTAACCTCTGACTGTTATAAATTGTATCGCTGACACTGAAATCGAGGTAAAGTTGGGAAGAATCAATCAAAGTTGTTACAGTATGGATGAGTGAGTGAGTGAGTTGTATTTGTGCTGTGCCATGAGCAGTTATTCATGTTTTATTCCCTTTGCATGTCAACAATCTGGTAAAGGGGGTTCGGCTTGTAAACGGTATGTTTCCAGTGATGTATCTGGACCTGCCCTGAAGCTAACATTAAAGCAATTCTCAGTACAGTTTCCTTCTTCAAAACCTTTAACATCTGTATACCACCCTAAAATAAGACTGAAAATAAAAATCCACTATTAACAAATCATTCCTTACAAGGCTTTTTTGCTTTGCTATGGGTTCTGTATTTTGATATTTTAGCTTAGATACAAATCCATGGTGCCACTTCCAACATACTGGATTTATGAACTTTCAGTATTAAGGTACTTCAACAGAAGACACTTAGAAGATACAAAATGAAGTCAGCACTTGTACACTGACCCATCTTCCAGAAATAAGAAATCCGTGATGGTAATTTTGGGTGAGTTTGTGTGTAGCTTAGGTACATACTACGTGAGTGAGTATGGTTTTACGCCGCTTTTAGCAATATTCCAGCAATATCACGGCGGAGGACACCAGAAATGGGCTTCACACATTGTGCTCATGTGGGAAATCGAACCCGAGATTTCGGCGTGACGAGCGAACGCTTTAACCATTAGGCTACCTCACCACCCCACTGAAGGAATCTGTACAGATGATGACCATGAAGGGTTAGATCTCCTTCCCACTTAGAAATGTCAACATCTTCTAATAGATCAAGAGCTTAAAGTACTTGAAGCTTAAAGATGAAAATGAGACCTAAACTTTTGGTTTCCTCAGCCATCAAAAATCAGGATTTAACAAAAAAAAGGTTAGAAGCCATCGAAATCCGCTGCCACAATCCTTTGATCAACACATCAACACAAATATTTTTCTACTATTTAATTTGTTCCAACGTATTGTGGTGTCTCATAGGCCTACATAGGCCGGGTGCTCACTTTTTTTTACATGCCAAATATTTAATATTTTGCAATATGTTTTATCTTGTCATTTTTTATATGTATTTGTATGAGCACGTGACACCGAAATAAAATATTTGGTGTCAAAAATAAACCCTGGCAAAGATTACTTTTCAGTATTGCCTCCCACAAAACGTTACGAAGTAACGAATGTCACAAACTGACGACATCGTGAGAAAGATCACATGCAGCATGAGGAGAGCTGAACACCATTTCGTTACCGATACCGAGTGTTGACATGTCTATACCAGTCCGATTGACAGTGTCTATCTGTCTTATACAAAACTTTTAAAACTCTCTCCATGAACTTTGGGAACGGCCGTAATTTTCTTCTGTGTCATAACAAATAAATAATGAATAATAGTGCATTTATATTGCGCATTTATCCATGCACATTGCATGCTCAAAGCGCTGACAGATTACCCCTGCTCAACGGGTACATAACACTCCCTGTGGAGAATATAACCGGTCGCCTGTCAGACGCTCAAGGTTCAAATTCAGACTTGCTTAACAACCGTTGCTTAACTTCAATTGATTGTGACCTGAGCTCTACGCACAGGACCACACACGCCATGTACTTGAAAATGAATTTCTAAAAAGCGTTGTTGAGTGTCAACGCATCCGAACCTTTGCGGTTCACTAACTGCCCGGTTCGATCCCTGTAAAATACACAATTCTGCCCACGTTCTTAAGTTTACACTGTAATTATGTATCTTTGGGACATGGGGTCCTTTCTCTCAATGTTCCCTGAATGAGGATGATAAAAACTATCATGTTTCAACTGAAACTGGCTTTTAACAACCTCTGATAACACAAGGCTGACGCCCTTCATATGGCACAGTGTGTGTGTGTGTGTGCGTGCGCCCGTGCGTGGTATATGTATAAATGTGGTATAGTACAGTCCAATGAGCAATCAAACGTGTTTAACTAAAATTCAGAAAGGAAATAGATACATATTTATTTAAGATGAATGGCTGCATGTATGATGCAAACATTGGCGAAAAGGAAATTCGCAAGATACGCATCAATCGCTTTTCAATTATATCTTAACTAATTTGTGCAGATTTGCATTCTCCAGTAGAGAATATGGAACAAACATGGCTTAGGTCACCACACTATTTTCGATTTAAAATATATATATTACATCGTTCATGTCAGATTATGTATGGTTTTGTGTGTATATATGTATGTGGCATGTGTGTAACTGAAGTACAAGATGGTACACCTAGGCAGTTTGACAAGCAACGGGAATTAGACACCTCCTGCACTTCTTGGGAAATACATCTTACAGGGGATCTGATGAAGTTAGCAGTCGAAAGGTTCGTCACTCACGTGCAGGGTTATTAATCAAAACTGACTATGGATACAAATCGTACCTTAGCTGATTTGACAGCATGACGATATGGCGATGAACCAGTTATGGAGGGTTGAAGGCAAAAGGGCAAAAGGACAAATGGGCCTAAGTTGAAAAAGTCAAAAGGGACAAAGAAAAGTCGAAAGGGCCAAAGGAAAGTCAAAAGGGCCATAGGTTTAAGTCAAAAGGGCCATAGATCAAATTCAAATAAGAACATATAAACTAATATATAGTTTATATGTGTTATTATGTTTGTAATAATATGTAGTAATAACAGTAATAATTTATAGTGTGATCATCATACATTCAGCTGTTGATATGTGATGAAATGTTCATATGTACTTCAAATATTCATAATTCACACACATCTTTAAAGTTCACTACAGACATCATCACTCCACACATCAGCAGCTGGACTTGTAATGGTAGGAGGCTGGATTCTTGTGGAGAGCTGGGATCATCATGTACAGTCATAACTGCTGTCTTGTTACAAGCAACACATTTTACATACATGGTTACTAGTTTGAATTGTGGTTGAACTGTTCGTCTTATATAGCACTCTCAGTCATGAGACCAATCACAACTAATTAAAACGTTAATCTTGTTTAGATTACTGACTAGTGTAATTGCCACCAGTGAGGTTAAAACCTCTTGTAATTATTAAATAAACAGTTGTATGGTTGACTATACTCATAAAATAACACTTAACCACTCTGAGATGTTTCAAATAAACAATGCTGAGACACTCTGAGATGTTTAGGATTAGAACTACTGCAACAACATGTAATGAATTTCTTTTAATCTTACTTTTCTTAAAGTTTGGCCCTTTTGACTTAAATCTATGTCTCTTTTGACTTTCCCTTGGCCCTTTTGACTTTTCTTTGGCCCTTTTGACTTTTTCATTTTTGGCCCTTTTGTCCTTTGGACGCTGCTTGTAAGACTTTCTGAACAAACTGAAATTTACAAGGTTTCAACCAGTAATTTTACTATAAAAATACTGTGTTCTTAACGTGGTCTACGTAAGAATATTAAATGATAGTGGGTGAGTGGTGGGAAAATACTATTCACTTACACACAGTCAGCCATCCGATTCTCATAAATGATCTCTTGATACAACCACAATCTGTCCCGGACGTCCCATGGGATTTGATGTACAATAAAAATGCCTCAGTAATAGGCTTAGGGAAGTTACGTTCGTCACATCTCTGTACCAATGGCCAAGATGTCTGATGACCCTATTATGTTATGATAACAAACAATAGCATGTGTATGCATTTGTAACTGGCACATCGCTCCATGGCGTCTCAGCTGTGATACTGTCGTCACTCGCTGATAAAGATGTAGCCTTCACCTTCGGACGTCATGTTCCAACATTTGAAACTTGCAAACATGGGAATCGATTAAATGGCGTACAATTATTATAATCAGTTTCACGCAATATTCAAAACACCAGTTTAATTTCCCTGTTCAAACTGTATCCTATCCACGTTCTTCAATTACAGGAAAGTGTTGCATGACCTATCCTTGGCAACTCACGAAGTAGGTTCCACTCTTTGTGGCTGCCAAGACACATCATACTGCTGCTAACCCGTTGGTCAACGAAACAGGAGTCCTCTTTTGTTTCTAAAAAAAAATGTACAATGCTGGAAGCCACTACTTTAAGTGTCTGGAAGCAGCTATGTCACTGCAGCTATGACACTGCTCGAAAATAGATAAAAGCGACGTTAACCACACACACTCACTCACTTACAACCGTAAAATTTGTATAGATGTTCTTTAATGTAAACAAAGACATCTTACGATCATCTTCTGAGGAAACAACGCGTGAAGTCATATATTATTATATATCCACTAAGAGGGTGTTCAGTTGGGACTGGTAAGAGTTTCGACCCTCAGGTCTGGTCGTGGGTTCAATCATCGGTGGGTGTTGTGTTCTGGTCAACACCGTACCCTGGGTAACCAGAGTGGTAAACGTCTTGGACATGCAGTTCGAGCTTTCCTTTAAAATCACCACGTCACAACCTGATATAACTGAAACAGTTCTAAAAGCAATGTAAACTAAACTCTCTCAAACCCTTACTATATATAATGAATAAGGTGTGATGGCAGTTAATGTTTATTTCTCGTGTTCAAATGATAAACAATACTCAAATACAATATATAAATATATGCAGAATCATACTTGATAGTTGCATCGTGGTCTGTCTGGAGGCACTGGTCGCCCATTCAACTCAGGAGCCGCATATCATTATGCAGAGTAATGACGGTAAATATTAGCTGATTTGCTGAACATGGGTTTGATTCCAAGATCTTTTCTGTGCATATGCATTTCTTTGTCTGCACTATGCCATTGCTCGCTCGACGGTTTCAACGAGTTGGTCAGTTAGGCTAATTTGACCCTCAGTGATAAAACGGAAATAGGAAACTGCGTCGAACACATACCACGCTCATTTTATAATAATAAGTTGTTTGATTCGCTTCACGTTTCTATGTCGCCAATTTCACTTTAGGTTTCCACGAAGGCATCTAGACATGATCACATTATAACCCGTTAGCTATTCATAAGTGAATACAATGCCTGTGCCTTCAAATCTTCTCTCTATGACATCATCAAATCTTTCGTTTTCTGCAACTGTTATCCAGTTCTTCCAATCCCCAACTTCACCTGAAACAAAACATCCCTTAAGCACTTACGTAAAGATGAATTACGTCATATACATATGCATAAACTGGTCAATTGTTCATCTGAAACAATTTGGGAACAGAGGTTCGTAGGAAGATATGACAAGTAACCTCTGTGGGAAGAATGATAGTACAAGTGATAACAGGGAAATGCATTGGACATCATTTTGTCACTCCAAATTTTAGATTAGCTCCATAAGTCTACTATAAAGCTTGTTTAAGTTCTTTTGTAAGTAATACCTGAGTGCTCAGGTAAGCACTATCTTATTAAGTCCCCATTGAGTGATGGTATGGCGAGATATGTGGTCACGGCTTCAAAACATGCAATAAATTACCTGTGTGGGCACATGAAAGGACGAAGGTCAAATGATACCATTCATTTGAAATAACTGATGCCTCTCTTTCAGGATCCATTGGGATTTCACAAAGCAAGAACAAAACTATATTCTGTATCAGTCAAAGTAATTAATCGAGTTCATCTTTGCTGATGGGTCGGTCTGCCAACAATAAGAGTCTAATATATTGACTCGAGTTTGCAGTTCTTGATATTCCTTTGAAACGTTTGGCCCAAACAGAAACCGACTCCACTAATTCAGACAAACGCCGCATGTTCTTAAATATGAAAATGGCCAACAAGATGCCTTACATTGCAGTAACATAATCTGTGTCCGAAAACGTCTATAATTAGTTTCTCATTTCAGGAAACACCATCAATTTCCTTTTCTCATATATAATTCCAGTCAGTTAGCTTGTTGCAAAACGTCGACTTGTCAGCTGACATTGTAAATTCTACTATTCCCGAGATTCATTGCACTGATACCAGTCATACAAACAGATGCCGTACCCTAAGCTGACAATGACAATCATCGTCATTTGTTGAAATATAGTTATATATCTTGAACATCCTCCTACCATATGAATAAATTACTACTTTAAACAGCATTTGAAATATAAACATCGCCATTTATTGGTCTCCAAAACATGTCAGTTCCTCTATTGTGCTGGATTTCAAAGCCCTTAAATAACAAAGAGAGATGTATTGTTGGGTCTGACAAAGCAGCACCAAATATTTGTCTCATTAAAGAGGGGACTTTGTCTATGTTCACATTAAGTATTTGAGACAAGAGGGTTACATAACATTCTCAAAATGTCGAATTCAAAGTTTGTATTTGTAAGAAACATTTGCCCTTATAACTTTGTACACCACTATTCCTGATGACAAGTTTTGATTCCTTGTTCTACGTGGTATTTATTAATGAAAGTCGCTTGACTAAAATTTGATCTCCCAGGAGTCAAGCTGTTAAACATGAACAAAGTTGCACCTCACCTGGTTTCTGACCTGGGCTCTAAGCATAAGACCACACACCACCACCTTTTGCCATACATTCCCGAATGTTTTCAAAAAACTTTATCATCTGATATTTCTCTTCCACAGCATTTTATTCTTGGGCATGTTTTATGGTTATTGAATAAAAAATGAACTTCCGTTAAAATGAACCCTTTCGCCGTATGCAAAGCAATTGAAGTGTGGTGAGGTGACAAATGTTTCACGGCTCTGAGGCGGCGCTCTTTTAGTTGAGTGTGCACGGAGACAGCAAGCTATAAATCTTTTGAAATGTTTGCAAACACCTCCTTTTTGCTACTTCCGGCATGGGACTGTGGCGTTCATTCGAGTGAGTTCTACATGATCGTAGTGTGACCTAAATAGTAGTTAGGCGTAGCTACTGCTATAATTCTCGAGAACTGTGTGATAGGTATATGAGGATTGGTTGCTGCGATGTTCGACACGATATCGAGGACTGCTTTGGATTTACGCTCATCTGTCTGCTAACATCGTCCGGCCCCCTCGTCTCAACTGCCGTCAACAAACTTCAATCAGTACATCGACCAGAATCAAGACTGTGGTAACTATAGACATTTAATTATTATTTTAGTTTTATGACCAAATATTTTATATCTGTGACTCAACAGTATTGTATTAGAAATTTGTACTGTCATTAATTGTAACCTGGTTTATTGTTTATTTAATATATTATTGAATATCCTAAACTTGTCTGTGTTCTATTTTGCCAGTTCAAGGGGACTCACAAACCTTTTGTCATGGCAATTTCTAAACCGTAACAATACATGGTGGAGCCTGCAAAAGCAATCTCATAATACCTGACTCTATCCACCGCCAAGGCATAAGACTTAATTGTCTTGGATCTTCTCCTATTGACAGTCTTTACGTTGAAGCAGACGAGCCTTCTCATAACTAACGCCGTATGAAACTATCTCTTTGCACCATATCACTAAAATGCACTCTAATCAGTCCAACCCGGCATATAACTGTTTTAATCCACTCTATGAGGATCTGTACAAGAAAAGGTCGTCTGTTATTCTGACTCTAAGAATGAGAGTCAGGCCTTTCCTTTCTGCTGCTGGCATTGAGCGGGATAATATATCTCCTTCCCACATGCTTTCTTCTCCTCCTTGGCAGTTAGTGAGGCCACAAGTTGACCTAACACTGACAACATTTAAAAAACTCAGAAACTAATGAACTACCATATAAACAAGAATTTAATCAATAAAAATTAAATCTGTTACATATGAATCCTTTTTTTTTACAGATGGATCCAAGGATTGTGGTCATTGGGTCCAGAATAATATGGTCTGGAATACCAGATACCAGCTTTATTTTTACAGCAAAAGCAAACGCCATATTAACGGATCTTAAATATATTAAAAACATCCTAAATATAAACAATGTATCATCTTTTCAGACTTCCTTTCATGCAATCAGGTCAAAAATGTATATTGCAGATATCCACTTTTAATCGAAAAATTGAATTATATAAATATCTTGCTACTGGCCAATACGACTGTTGGTTGCCCAGACATGATGGCATTTCAGGTAGGGCAGCACTCAACATATCTGTGACACCACTTCATATTCCATTCTCAGATTCTAAAGCTGTGAGTAGATCACATATCCGCGATCTAATGCATAAGAAGTGGCACACCCATATCATGGTAGGTATCAGGTAGGTATCAATAAAATACATCTGGTAAAACCAACAATTGACTGCACTTATTTGGGTTCTCAGTCCAGATTTGAAGAGGTCATCATGCGACGATGTCGCATTGGCCATACAAGATGTACACATGAATATTTATTGAAAGGTGAAGACCCTCCGTTTTGCATCCCATGTGATGAAAGAATCACGGTCAAGCATGTCCTGCTTAACTGCATTGATTTTTCCATCACAAGGGATAAATATACCAATGTTGAATTTGTAAAAATAATAAATTGTTACATAAATTTTGATAAATCATTTGTAAATAGATAAATATTCAAAAATTGGTAGTTTAAAACTGAGATTGTGAGTGACTGTATCCTCACAGGGTGCTGAAGTATTGTAAAATTGTCCTCATGTGGGGTTACATAAGTCCCAACACATTGAAAGTCAATTTAAACATACCACTCTCTTTAATCGTAGAATGTGTGATATTTTAATTCTTGCAAGACTGCCTAAGCTCAACAGATGAAGGGATGGTGTAAATCCAGTTAGGGTACATGCAGGAAGCAAATGTATTGTAAGTCCCCATGGTTCCTAATATGGTGGTCTACCTTCTGTTGTTGGCAGTCTGTAGCCTGGTTTTATATTGTATCGTCTTCCATTGTTAAACTGTTTTGTTTTACATACTAGTTTATGTATTTATGTAATCATACGTTAATTATCTTTTACGTATTGCATTTTAAAACGGAATTGAATTAAACTGTTACATCAATTTTGATAAATGGTTTGTAAATAGATAAATATGCTATAATTCGTAGTTTAATTGAGCAGCTGAGTGAGTGGCTGTATCCTCACAGGGGGTGAAGTAGTGTAAAAGTATTGTCCTCCTGTGAGTGAGTGAGTGAGTTTAGTTATATGCCGCACTCAGCAATATTCCAGCTATATGGCGGTGGTCTGTAAATAATCGAGTCTGGACAAGGTAATCCAGTGATCAACAGGATGAGCATCGATCTGCGCAATTAGGAACCGATGACATGCATTGTGTCAACCAAGCAAGCGAGCCTGACCGCTCGATCCCGTTAGTCACCTCTGTCGACAAGCATGGGTTACTAAAGATCAATTCTAGCCCGGTCCTCCTGTTGGGGTACGTAAGTCGAAAAACATTTAAAGTTCCTTTAAACATCCGACTAGTAAATCCGGCTGGGGTCCATGCAGACAACCAAAGTGCTATAAACGTCCCCATGGTCCCTAGTACGTTGATCTAATTATTAGTTGTTTAGAAATCCACTTTTAGATTTAGATGCTGGTTTTAAATTCTGGTTATGTGATATTCCATATTTACTGCCCTCTGTTTTATAATTTGAATGTATTTATCATGTATTTAAATCATGTTTTAGTCACGATTTACTGAAATACTACCGATGTGACTTTAAATTTTTACTAACTCATGAACTTACAAACTAACTAACCTCATGTGATATATGTCTAAAATAAACAAGGCTATTATTGATCTCACCTTTTCTATACATCCCAGCGTGACCTTCCTTCCAGGATTCGGAAGATCCCTCATAACCCTCCTTCACCTCTTTATCTGCAGCCTTCAGCTTCTTAAAGCTGCACGCTTCTGCTATTTGCTCGCACAGATCATCAGTGACTGAGACTCCCAGGAACTCCGCAACCGTTTTGATTTCCTTGACAGGATCCTGAAACCAATACAGTGTGGGTAAAATACACCCATCAAACTTCGTGGACACACCTACCGTTGCACTACGCGATACCATTCCCGGTGAAATCTTAATCTTGGACATCACCATATTTCCAAAAATTAGGAAATTTAGAATTATGCTGTGTACGTTTTAATCGTCTCATGTTGCAGATCGATAAAGGAGGTGTAGGACTCACCCATCCCTATTTCTCCAAGATATTGACTAAATAGTGGAAATCTGTGTTTGGGGAAAACCCTTTGCAATTTGAAACTACAATCGCTTGTTAAAGTGGCTCCCCATGATGTTTACTGAAAGAGCTTGTTTTGGGGACACTACCCAACTCCTTGCTGATGACTTTATCATAAGGACATAATTTATTAATGTTTTCACGTATTCATACATGATGCCAAGGATCCAAACTGAATACTGAATAGTCACACAAATGTCAGCACTCAAAATATTGTAAACAGTGCCAGCTTGAATATCTGGACACAATCTTTTTGATGGATTAAAATGGATGTGTCCTTTAAAAACAGCCCTGTCTAAATATAAATCAAGCAATCCAAGTCTTTTTATGTTGATTATGACGGGACGTCATCAATACTATACTGAACATATTATATATATGATATTATCTGAGTGCATACCATTATCCATGCCAAGAGGTACACAATTATAGATCATTGTTTCACTTTCTGCAATTTTTACAGAACTAGTATATCCCAATGTGTTGTCATGACTAATATCTCGTTAACCACATTACTCACATTTGTGATATTTTAATGAGGCTTTGCTCATGATTCCTTCAAAATAAAATGGAAGCTTTTCTAACATTGGACATAGAGAATATACACTAAACGCCAAAAGAGACGTTACCCTCTTACCTTAATGAAACTATCAAAGATATGTCAGAAGATATTAGTTTACAAGAAAGCTTAACAACACAGTTCTATGCAAATCACGAAAACATTTCTCAAATGCATTCATATCTCGGTGAAATGCAACTTTTCAGAAGAGTTAAATTGTCCTATTTTCGACCATGCCGAAATAAACCAATAACAGTCCAACATAAAGGCTGAAATATAATTCTCATTTGAGAAAGAGAATAAATCATTTAAAGCCACCATTTTCAACTATCAAAACAAGAAACAACTGTTGTAGAGTGTGTGAAATTGTAAAAGAATCATTCCTATAGTTTCAGTCTTTTAAAACATTTTCTGCTGATTTGCATGAGTGAAAACAAGTAAAACGCGTCTTTGATATTGTGAAAGGTGTTTAAGAACATCTAAAATTACCTGTGTTAACATTTTTGCTTGCAAAGTAACATTTTTCCATTTTCTGTTGACACATAGCAATATCAATCGCCAAAACGCAGCAATATTCAAGCCGTATATGCATCTATTTCACGTGTAGAATGTGTCTATAAAGATAGACTAGAATGCATGATATGATACACACGTACGAGAAATATTCCACGATTAACAGCTGAAGAGAGAGAAAGAGCCATTGGGATGGCGCAGATGCTGTCGACAAACAATGCTGTCGCCAACGCCCTCGGATGCCACCATATCACAGTTATAAGACATATTCAGCGCTACAGACAGACTAGGATCACCGTAGACAGACCAAAAGTTGACGTCCACGCATCACAACGCCAACTGAATATAGGTACCTTCGTCATTAAGGAAGGAGGGTAACGTTTCTTTTGGCGTTTAGTACAGTTAGGCCGACTACTTTTGGGACGCCAGTCGTGTGTTACAGTGAGAGCGACGTTTTGTTGAAGGGGTCAACCAAGCAAGTGATGAACAAAAATAAGGATTGAGAGGCACATATACCAGTATGAGGAAATGCCTGCAATAACACGGTGAAGCCAGTAAAGGTTTAGCACAACTTTGCCTATGATAGACAGAATCATTAACAGGGGAAGCCAGTAGTATATTAGAAACACAGGAATAGTAGAGCCTGTATCCGGGAACTGACCATCCATTGGAAGTATTGACTTTAGCTAGAATCTAAAATGAAAACGAAATGGCTATTCGATGATCACACATTTAATACTGGTACCATCTGCGATTTTATAAACACAGGGATAGTAGAGCCTATATCCGGGAACTGACCATCCATTGGAAGTATTCACTTTAGCTAGAATCTAAAATGATAACGAAATGGCTATTCGATGATCATACATTTAATACCGGTACCATCTGCGATTTGACAATGTATTATACGTGTAACAGTTTATGTGCATATAGATGAGCTACAGGCAAGTGTAATCGGGCATTAGCATTCATCTGACAATGCCCCTTATCCCATATAATGTAATTACATTGCACATGTTGTTATTCCGAGAAGTTGTTGTGTGCTATTTATAGACTTGTTCTCGAAAGTTCTACAGGATATTGCAACCCTATTTTGGAGTCGTTTCTTCGTTATATGCGGTACCTAGTCTTATTGTGGAGTATTTTCTTCGTTATATGCGGTCCCTAGCCCTATTTTGGATACTTGACTGTTGTTGCAGTGAGGTGGGTATTACTTTCCGTTTTTACGCTCTAATTTGCACTGCTACTGTAATATTTTGTACAGATCTGCATTAATTTGCAAACTTTGTTATTTTCAGAATACCTAGTTCATTACATAAATAATTCTTTGCTTTTTGTTGATTTCAAAGCGAGATATTTCACGGACTGATTCCCGGTTAACGTTTTGTTTCTACTTTGGATTCAACACGTATCACAAGCACTCCAACTATGTACCAAACAGATCATTAATTCCTGTTGAGTAAAACAACTACAAACCTTTTCAAGTTTTCATAAAACAATGTCAACATTGGCAAGTCCGGGTTGTCCTCTTTCACTTGCAGCCAGTCCTTCACGTAGTCGACATAATCACCACCGCTTACTGGAACATGGAAGGGGTCATTTATGTAGCGTCATGCACATACAAGGATTATTTTTGTTTATTTGTTTTATGGGGTTTTTTGTATTTATTTGTCCAGAAGCATATTCCAGCACATGTTGCAGTGATGCAACCAGGCCACACGTCAGAGCATCTGAACCTTCATTCGGGCAGAACAGCAGGCAGGATCATCTGAACCCACATTCAGTAAACAAACAACATGCAGACACTGTATCTAAACTCACACTGACATGAAATGAATATAAATAATCAGAACATTCTAAAGATATTAATACACGGTAATAAGCCTAATATACCATCAGGCTCAGACATTACACTGCTTCTTAAAATATCATATCAGTATGTATGTGTCTCTCACCGTTTCCTTCCAGAAACAGATCCAGATATTCTGAATACGTCCCGTCAAACCCAAAAGTTCCTTTGCTTCCGTTGACCATGTTAAAATACGATACGCTAACATCTTTGCTATTTCGCAGGATGAAGATTGTTTTATCTGCTTCTCCACCATCTTCTCGGGCAGATGACGGAAATATAGATGTGAGTTTAGAACCCTCGGGGAGGGAGTTCATCAGCCTGCTCAAACTCCGGCATCCCCAACATGGCGATCTCCTTTCGGCTTTTGTTGTACTCAGAGTTACCTGCCTTGAGCATGGTGACGATTTCCCACAACCAATGGGTACCTGGAGGGATCGGAATATATAATTTAGTTCGTAAATTAGAGCATGCATAAACATCAACATAATTTTCAGGAAAACGTCGTTGCCGTCCAGTTTCTTCAGCAAGATCCGTGTATAAAATTCAGTATCTTCAGGTTCATATTTCTCTGCATGTCTTATGACTGCGTACAATGAACCGGCTAAATCCGCCATAACTAAGCTACCGAGTAGCCTCGACTGCAGTACACGGCGAGTTTAGTCACTATCAAACGAGGACACGTAAAAACTCTCCAAGTCTGGCACAGAATTGTTCCATGCCTATCCCCATTTTGTTGTGAAACGTTTCAACGTAATCAATGTTTGACCATCATGCTACATTGATTAGTTATGCAGTCTTTCCGATCAGAATAGACAGATATGAGTAGTGCGGGTGAATTGGACTCGTTTTTCGTAAAGAGCATTCCTCTGACAACCTGCGAGGGTATGCTGCCGAACACGGGACCATGCTTTCAATGACATTCTGTCACACTGTAAACTAAAAGATAATATCGTCTTGAGACAATCTTTGTTTTTACCACATTTGGGATAAGCCGCTATCATGACGTCATCGTCTCTCAGTTTGAACTTCTGAACGTTTCGGATCATTTCCACATCATCTTCGGGGTTGTGACAATTCTTCGGAGGATGCCGTCACATTTGTAGAAGCGCCATCCGTGACCTTTTTCATTCCGGTGGTCCAGAATCTCGGGGGTTCTTTGAGGAAAAAGCGAATTAGTTGGATCTAACGCCGCTTTGATGTTTATGACGGTTTGTGAGAGCTAGAGAAAGCCTGGCACAGGTCACAGACGTTTACTGATTGATGCTACCAGTATTAATGGATATGGTGCTCACAAACAAAGGATCCAAATTATGGTCAACTTTGGTTGACAAGGGACGCATGAACCTTTAATAGCTACTCCATAGGCAACTGAGTGTCAATAGTGTTGAGCTGACTATTATTCAAAACAATGATACTGAATAACAAAGTGTAGTAGCCTAATTTCGGCGTACTTGACATAAGGTCCTATCTGTGCCCACATATGCCCACATCTATTTGTCGGTTTGCATCCGGGATTCGAACCCACACTCTGAATGTCAGGCATCTAATCGTCATTTACACTTTTCAGAGGGGTACACAAAGTGCCTGATCTAGACTTCCAGACGGCTAAGTGGGCTAGATCGATGACTTTGTGTGCTTGCGATTAGAGTGCCTGACTCTAAGAGAGTTTATTCAGAAACCCTCATATGATTCACCAATCCGCAATCCTGTACGGGCCAGTAGGTTAAGCCATTACACGTGACCACAAATTGGGGCGTAGTTTACCAAGCATCTACTCAACACATTTGTGATCGTGAATGAATGAAAATCACTGCATTGTCGCTGAAGTGTATTTGAGAGTAACATGTACTTACTCGTGATCTTCCATGTCAGACAGTACATGTAATATCAATGCCTGAAACTGACCTCCTTCTTTACTCAACTTTGTACTCCTCACATGACTTTGCTATTAACCCAGTCACGTGTTTAGACAGAGTTGACACTGACGATTACTTGCAACATTCAAGTACCTGAACACGGCAGTGTCTTGTGCATGACTGTGGCCATGGGTAAATCCTTTGCTGCTACGATAAAACAGTGACCTAATTTACAGCGCCGGCGCACCTTGGGAATGCACTCGACTAAACATCGACGGGCAAAGTCAACTGTCTCTCCCCGAGTACCTCCGATAGTGAACTATGATGCGGTTTATTAGACTGCAACAGGGGTAAACAAACGTCTTCGCCCTACGTTTCCTAGCGGCGTAACGTGATTCAGGTGCTGTGACTTAACCGGAATATCATTGAATGGGCTTCAACCCCTTTCTCTCACTATCAGGGTCTCATGCTTGTTCCGATATACACTTCGAGTAGCCTTGTGATTGAAGCGTTCGCTCGTCATGTCGGAAGCCCGGGTTAAATTCTCGATATGGATACAATGTGTAAAACCCATTTCTGGTGTCCTGCGTGATATTGCTGAAATATTGCCGAAAAACGGCGTAAACCCCAACTCACTCACAGACTCCCGTGTCCCGTTAACCATTTATTGATCTTTATGTGCATTAAATATAAATCTCACGGCTGGTCAGGTGACTGATGTAAAATGGTTTAACCATGCCAGAAACTGCCATGGTGTGCTCGGCCGAGGGGCCGCCTGATTACGTGACAGCACTGTACCCAGGCTCGCTGGTTTCATCAAAGGAGCGGGACGGTGAGGTAGCCTAGTGGTTAAGGCTTTCGCTCGTCACGCCGAGGACCCAGGTTCTATTTCCCACATGGGCACATTGTGTGAAGCCCATTTCTGGTGTTCCCCTCCGTGATGTTGCTGAAATATTGCTAAAAGCGGCGTAAAACTAAACTCACTCACTCACTCATCAAAGCAGCACACATGTAGGAAATGCTTTGTTCGAGCTTTACGGAATGTAAAGTGAAATGCTGTAAAGCCGCGTGTCACCCGAACCATATTAACAGACATGCAAAACATGTTTGGTATGTTTTATTCTTCCTGCACATGTGATCAACTTAGAAAAATATGTGATAAACTTTGTCAATGCCTTTTTCTAAAACGTTCATTTTTGTTACTGAATAATGGTAAATGCTCTGTAAACAGACAAGTAAACATATGTCTCTTTGTTATACTAGAATTCACCGGGGAGGAGAGTTGGATGCCAACTTCTTTTTATGAGGAACACAATGTTTCGGAGTATATCTTTACCCCTTCATCAGGTGAATTATGAATAAGTTGGGTTACTTTTGCATAGTTCCTATAACAATGTATTTCTGTATAAGAAGAGGGCCACATTAATTGGGTAGCATTCGCCTACAGTCCGTTTGAGACAAAATGATACCGATGAATTGCAATCTAACACAAAACAAATAGACATATAGGATTCAAACCAACGCGGACTGCAATAAAACAACAGACCAACTGTAGAAAAAGTGCATAATTTTGTCACACAAATAGAAAAGTTGTTTAAGAAACGGTCATCACTTATTTTGTGCGTTCTCCAAGTTTGTTACAAGGGAGCATTGGCAACTAAAGGAACAGGGAGAAAAACGAGATGTAGTAGATTGTAATTCATCGGTATCATTTTGTCTCAAACGGACTGTAGTCACTGTGACAATATATTTGTATATTAGCGAAAGACTACAGAGGATGGGTAACATTTGCAGCGTCCTTTCGTTGTAGCAGAATCCAGAACTTGATGTTGCATCCGAGATTCTTTCTGATTATGTTCTTTTGTTTTGTGGGCACATTGTCCCAGCTTGACGTTTCATCCAGATGTCACTGGATAAATCATGTCGCAGATAATAATCATATTTCACGTCTACTTTGTACGACGTTATTACGATCACCTTATAATCATACGCTAATCTAATCATACGTGAATACAATTCCAGTGCCTTCAAATGTTCTCTCTATGACGTCATCAAATCTCTCGTTTTCAGCAACAGTTATCCAGTTCTTCCAGTCCCCAACTTCACCTGAAACAATAACATTACATACTTCCATAAGTCCTTAAGTAATACAAGCGTACATGCAGTAATAGAAGACCGGGTACTCAAGCAAGAAATATATGACTGAGTCTTCGGGCCTTAATATAACCAGTTCTTAAAGGGGCACTGATCCAGAGCAATTTCCGTGGACTGGTTGTTGCTTTTGTTGTTGTTTTTCTCCAGTGAGTACCCGGATGATATCCCAGAATTAATGACTGGTTCGTTACCTCTGCTGCGCCACCCTCATGCGCAATTGATAGTATAAGTATAGACTGATCAGCAAAGATTAAATCCTTTTTTACTCGATAATCTTATGTTGATTTTGTTGTAAAATTATGTAGACTTTGATGAATAATTTGGTTTCTTATAAAAAGATAGTCACTTTGATAAAAATGCTGATTTTGAAATTTTGATTTCATAGTAATGTTGACTTGATAAAAATGTTTACGTAAATGGATGGAGAATTCGATTTAAGAAATTGTTTGACCTTGAATTTGGTGAGAAGCCGGATATAATTATGACCTTGTTTTTAAAGGAAGGCTAACTAGGGAGTCTTGGGGCAGAGTAGTGTGCTCGGGTTCACTACTAGTCAATCTGAATGTTGTATTAAATGGCATTATTTTGATAACAAATGAAAACATTTTAAGTTTAACCATCTGCCAGTTGTACACAATGTTCGGACTGAAATAGCAAAGTCACTGTACGTCTTTATATTTTGTCTTATAATCCTAATTAGTTTATTATCATATTTGTAATATAATATAATGCACACGATCTGCTTATATCTAGTGAATTTATAACATGACTGTAATATCTATACATCTTAGATTGCCAACGTGTATCATATTTCACACACACGCCCTAAATGCGACCTAGTGTATGTTGTCTGTCTCATTACACTTCACGGCAAACAAATAAATGATTCTGTTGAATGCCATAACAAATAAATAAAAACAATATGCAAATATTAAAATTAAAACAGACCAAAGTTATAACAACAATATCAGGCTATTACCTTGTTCGGGGAATGTATCCAACAATATCCACATAAAGGAATGATATGCCATTCATCTGCAACTGACAAAGTATCCTGTTCCATGTCATGTGTCTTTTAACAGTCTAATATGTGAAAAAGTGACCTATCGTTTCAGGTTTTTCACATTGGTGTATAGTCCCATTGGTCACCCAAGATAGCCCACCTGGCAACTAATTGCATGATGTCCGCCATTCTTTAAAAAAGTAATTTAGTTAGCCAATAATGAGCAATCAATCAATGTATTGGCGGTTAATCCTTTGAGGGAAGGACATGTTTTTACAATAAGCCTTTACGACAGGGTGTAATTCAGTATAGATTAGTAAATCTACATACATAAACACTACCTTTTGACAAATCCGCTGTGCAGGATAAAAGCAATTAATCAATCGGCGTGTTATCGGTTAATCCTTTGATCGATGTTTGTTTTGTAACTCAGCTGATAATTCCTCTTACTGCACTTCCATGCGCATATTACATAAGATGTAATACATTTGCCACATCAGACCTCAATTTATAATGATGAGTATTTACTCCAGACACAAGAAATGCCAAATGGGAACCTTTGTCGGGTAATCTGAGTGGTGTTATCACTAATTATACCTGTTATAAATTCATTAACTGACCATCAAGTGAATGATGACAAATAATATGTGTAGGTTTACCACCAAACAAGGGTTACAGCAAGAGAGTAGTAATCGCTGTGTTGCATGCAAGTTTGATTGCCTGAAAAAAGTGGGCCGACACTGTTTTCAGGATACGAACGGAACTTCATTGTTTCATGAGAAATACAAATAAGCAGTTGCTGTGTACTTAGTTAAAACCTATATATACCTATGTACCTAAGTACAATTTCAGATTTATTTTGAAATGGCAATGTGGGGTTGTTTAGTTTATGGATTCAAATATATCAAATGTGTGTTTTGATATCATAGCATACGTAATAGACATCCAGAGGTACAGACAAGCTGCGTATCTGCGTAAATTACGCAACTATTTATGTGAAAACCCAATTCCTATTAAGTCTGTTGCGTACAATTACGCTTGATTTTTCGTAAATAGTCAATAAATGTGATCCGACATGCGTACACGCGAAAATATGAAATCATATATTGCGTACCGGTGGATAGATAAAATAACTGAGGTATATTGAGAGGTTCTATTTCAGGACACGAACTTGACAAGTTGCAGTCTTTCTTATCGTTTCTCATATTACAGATCAAATATAAATAACAAACACTAACATTTAAACTTTATTATATTTTTATAATTAATGGAAAATGGCAAAATACCCAAATGAGTTTAAGTGAGTTGAGTACAATTAATTTGGTTACTCTAAGGAAAATGGAGATACCCAATTGAAATGAACACACGCGAGTACATAACTCAATGACCCAAAAAGCTATCTGTAGCTCTGGACATCATATTTTTACATGATTAAATATCGAGGTAAAATATCGAGGTAAAAAACACAGAAATAGGATCAAACTGGATCAGTCACTATACCATCGAAACATTTGAAAATCTGAAAAAGCCTACACTGCTGCGATACTTTATTACAATCAGACAAGAACTACTGGGGATATTTTCAAATAATGGCATCTGATAAGGTGGACAGTAGCCCAGTCCCCGTGTCCGTCACGGTCGAGGGAGCAGAGGCTGACCAGTTTGCAGCTAGGTTTCGTAATTAGACTGTTGGCTGGTAACCATAATCGCTCTGGATCAGTGGCCCTTTAAGTAAGTAAGTTATTCATTCTCCATTGCTGCCGTATGCCTTTGAAACGGGACATGGGATTGCCAGACGAATTAGTACTCAGCCGTCTTGGTCAATGGTTTTCCTCAGTCCCCCAGGACATGGGCGATCCTTTACTTCACGACACACGTGACATCACTTGCATTATGCATGGCAATAAATTGTCACTGTGTATTTTCTGAAAATTGATCTATTGCCATGTCAAGAAAAGTTAACGTTTAATACTGTCGTATTTGAAATCATTTCTCAAAACTGTACAGCAATGAAATAATTGGACCTGCTCTAAGCTATATATGTGCACTGCAAGCATTTAATTTCTCGGACCTACTCGAACCTATGCGTTTCCACTCAGCAAGCAATGAAATACTTGGAACTACTCTACCTGATGCATGTCCTCAGCACTGAAATCCTTGAACCTGCTCTAACATATATCTCACAACAAGAAACACAATTTTTGGACCTACTCTAACCCATGTAAAGAATCACAACAAACAATAAATGACTGGACCTACTCTGGTCCGTGTGTCTTCACAGAAACCAACATAATGCTTTGGACCTTCTCTTACTTGTGTGTGTAGTCACAACGAGAAATATTCATTTACACTTACCTTTCCTATAGATTAATTTGTGACCTTTCTTCCGGATTTCGGGCATATTAACTGGCCCCTCCTTCACCTCTTCCCCTGCCGTCCTCATCTTCTTAAAGCTGCAGGCTTCTGCTATTTGCTCACATAGTTCATCGCTGACAGACACGCCAATGAAGTCGGCAACCGTTTTGATGTTTTTAACAGGATCCTAAAATCAACACGATTTGGGTTATCAGTTACGACTATTAAGTCTGGACACTGGTCCAATAGGTTTTAACAGTACAAATTTACAAACCTTTTTCACGTTTTCATAAAACAATGTCAAGACAGGCAAATCCGGGTTGTCCTGTTTCACTTGCAGCCAATCCTTCACGTAGTCGGCATAAGCTCCACCGGGAACTGAAACAATGGAAGAAATGATGAAAAAACGCCATAAACAAACATTTAGTCACTATGTATCTGAATCAGGAAAGAAGAGGACAGCCAGCAGCATGTCGGAGCATTAAAACCAATTCAAATGCTTGAAGCCCAAAACTTCAGACAGTTGCCTCATGTCAGAGAGTTGAGACCTACATTCAGTTAGCAGCACGTCAGACAGTTTAAACATCTATTAAGTTAGCAGCACGTCAGACAGTTTATATCTACTCGGTCGCATGTCAGGCGTTTTAAACCTACATTCAGTTAGCAGCACGTCAGACAGTTTAAATCCACATTCACTTAGCAGATTGTCAGAACTGGACCGAGACACACCCAGATATCACTCACCTTTTCCTTCTAAGAACAGATCCAGATATTCTGAATAGGTCCCGTCAAACCTAAAGATGTTTTTGAATCCGTTGAACATACAATAAGAAGATACGCTGACATCTTTGGGATTTCGCATGATAAAGATTGTTTTTATCCTTCTCCACCATCTTCTCTGGCAGATGACGGAAATATAAATGTGAGTTTAGAACTCTCGGGGATGGGAGTTGATCAGCCAGCTCAAAGTGCGGATTCCCCAACATGGCGATCTCCTTCGTCTTTCTGCTGTACTCAGAGTTACCGGTCCTGAGCATGGTGACTATTTCCCACAACCAGTGGGTACCTGGGATCGGAATAGACAGCATAGAGTGAACACTGAATGAGGTTTTACACCTCTTTGAAATTGAACAATTTTGCTTCAGATCGATTTTTTACTTATTTTTGAAAAAGAAAAAGATATTAATCTTGCTAATCTGTCTCAAGGTCTTACCGCATTTGGGATATGCCGCTATCATGACGTCATCGTCCCTCAGTTGGAATTTCTGAAGTTTTTGGATCATTTTCTTGTCATCCCCAATGGTTGTGCCAATCATCCGGAGGATGCCATCATGTTTGTAGAAGGACCATCCATGACCATTCTCATTCCGGTAGTCCAGAATCTCGGAGTTCTACAAAGAATCACTGGCTTGGTTTGAATTTACCCCGGTTTGAATGATATGACCGCTTGGACTCCTTGGTGCTACGTACGTGAGTGCAGTCGAATCTAAATAAATGATATGAATACAACAGTGAAAGACAAGCTGCTGCAGTTTGGTAGGATGTTTATCTATGCTTGTGCACAAACGTAAAGAGTTTGAATTGATGCTTACATCAGTGATAAGCCACACAAGCACGTACATTTTAGACCAATACCTTTCATCCCGAGCCAAATTGTTTAGTGAGCGTCGCCGGTGGGGACGGATATTACAGATAATCCACACACGTCTTAGCTTAAAGGAGCTGTGCACGTAATCAAGGAATAGACCAACAAACACCTGCTAAACACAATTATCGTCGGGATTAAAAACAATGGGCACCCATAAGTAATTAATGGCATGGGGCTGGTGTGTGTGTGTGTGTGTGTGTGTGTGTGTGTGTGTGTGTGTGTGAGAGAGAGAGAGAGAGAGAGAGAGAGAGAGAGAGAGTGTGTGTGTGTGTGTGTGTGTGGGGGGGGGGGTATGTTATGTGTGATGGTGAATTATGCATGTACAATGTGAATGACTCCCCTAATATCTATGTACAAAATGCCCCCTCACCTTCTTGTACTGCATGCCACGTATAATATCAAAGACCAACTACCGGGACATGTGTACAAAACTGATGACCCAGCTACCTCACCAGAACAAAATGGGAGACTCCTCCTTAAAATCATTATCATCACACGCCCCAACCCCCAGTATATAATGTGAGGTCCGGTGAAATGTAACTATCATAAATTGTAACTGTGAAATGTGACTAACAAATTACCTGCCTTTAAATTTGATGCTATGACTTTTTCTGCTTTTAAATGACAATTTAATGAAGATATGTTTTTGAAATAAAACTCATTCCGAGTATGTACTTACAATGTTTATTAATGCAAACTTGTTCTCGTCACTATATGGCTGGAATAATGCCGATGTGACGCAAAACCCAACTCAACTCAACTCAACTCATGTGAGGTCCCTTAACTAATTGTAAAAATGAAAAACACCGAATTGCTGCAGAAGCTTAATGGCGGTAACAGGCACTTACCGCTGACCTTCCATACTGTTCGCAACGTGTACGCCTCCCGTGACTGGGCTATTATCCTATTATCCCGATGTAGGAATGTTCCAATTTCTTATTATTATGCAGCACTGTTCCTTTTGGGCAATAATAGCGTTGAGTGAGTAAGTGAAGTGGTGGTTCACGGGGAGCAGGGCCAGACAGCACTACGCGCGGGTGTTGAGCCAAATTCCACGGGAGGACACCTAAAGGCTATTTCACTCAAGCTGACACACTGATATCAAGGCTATTTATGCAGGTCATGGACCTCGAAAAGAGGCACGGTAATAGGATGACAAGCCGGTGCAGTACATTCGCTGAGCAGAGTTGCGCCCCCTGGGAACCCCTTGTGGAGAGAGAGAGAGAGAGAGAGAGAGAGAGAGAGAGAGAGAGAGAGAGAGAGAGAGAGAGAGAGAGAGAGAGAGAAAGAGAGAAGTCCTTGTTTTATCCTCTTAAAGATAGGCTTCACATACAGTGTTTGAAGATCTGACATCCAGAGGAGTAGGTGGGTTCGCCTTGTGGATAACGTGATCACTCGTTGTGCCGAATACATGGGTTCGATTCACGCTTTTTTGTTTCCATGTAACCTACTACTTTTGTCTGGTGTATGGATGTCAAGAACGTTTAAATGCTTTATGTATCAGTTAAATAATCTCACGGGCTAAAGAAACGTCACCAAAATTATGTTTTATCGTTTATCGTACCTTTGTATTTTTTTCAATAAAAAATGGGTTGAAACAACTTGCCCGAACGCAACAAACATACACTACACATTGAATTGCATGAGATTCATGTAATTTGTGTAAAAATGTTAAATTTGCATGGAATTTTGCGAAATGCCTTAATAAAAAGCCGTATTGAATTCAGGTATAAAATGTGTAGAAAATGCTTGCCACAAAGGCGACTATGCTTGCCGAAAGAGGCGACTAACGGGATCGGGTGGTCAGGCTCGCTGGCTTGGTTGACACATGTCATCGGTTCCCATTTTCCCTGATCGATGCTCATGCTGTTGATCACTGGATTGTCTGGTCCATTATTTACAGACCGCCGCCATATAGCTGGAATATTGCTGAGTGCGGCGTAAGACTAAACTCACTCACTCACTCCTTGATTCCAAGGAAAATAACGTCAGGACATCAGTGAGAGAGCGGTCAGTCTTTGTTTTATCCTCCTAATTGCAAGCTCCAGGCAGGGTAACAACAAGTACAGTCTCTTAACGTATTTTTCTATGACGGAATCAAACTTGCCCCAGGGTCAGAACAAGGCACGGATATCATTGAGTCAGATATATCTCTTTATCATACAATGGATAGCGTCCTCGGCAAGATAAAGCCAACGGATATTTTTAGTATTCGTTGGGGTCATATACGGATATCGATGCAAATTAGAGAGATCATATGCAAAAGTGAGTGACTACTTTCATAGTATAAACAAACATGGCGTCACGCGCATCTATCGGCCGTGGTTACGGTACTGTCAGTGATTTGATCCATGAAAATTCATGTCTGGCAATGACAGATGGAGTGGAATACGAAGCGATGATAGAAACTCATAGGCTTACGAGGATACCTACGCCAGATCCCCAGCAGGCGGCTCAGTAAATTGACTGATCAGTAGAAAATTGTGTCACCGAACTTGTGACGTAACTTATTACTACGCACATATTTGTGACGTCATCGATGTCTGTGCACATTCCACCAAGTTCAGTTTCATGGTTTGTGTCAATCGAAATCGCATTATTTTAAAATCATAAAGTAAGAATGACATTGCATAAAAAATAGGTTATCACACTCGTGTGTTTGGGGATGGTTCATATTAGGAATAAACAGTATGCATTTAGCTCTCCAATGCTCGCTAAATATTTATTGCTAATGCAGGATATTAACCATCCCAAAACACACTCGCGTGATAACCTCTTTGTCTTGCGAAGTAGGTTTAGTTGGCCTGGTGGTTAATCTCAGCGTCCATTGTCTCAAGCATTAGTAAAGTACATCCGACAGAAAATGGATTCTCCAGTGAAATATTTCCCATGTGTCAACTATCCACATTAGGCATAGTTCATTGATGATAATTAGCACAGAAGATTTTGTTCGTTAAAGAACATATATTGTATTCATTAAAGAGCATAGATACTGAAATAATTAAGTAGATTATCAATATATTTTATTTACACAGAAGAAACAGTTCATTAAATATTTATACAGAAGAATGTGTAATTATGATACTTCATTTTGATTAACTATTGTGAAGTTTGAAAGTCATGGAAACACTTGTACGAATTGAACGGTGTTCATCTGTTGAGAAGACGAGCTCCTTGTCGTCATCACCTCGCTGAACAGCAGAAACCTGTCGCACACGTCCCTCGAAAGAGCAGCCAGGTCGACATCGGTTTTGGTCAAGGGAAGCTTTGGCATGGTGTGACTTCCGTTGTCTAATCATACTTGAAAACAATTCCTGTGCCTTCAAAGGCTCTCTCTATGACATCATCAAATCTCTCGTTTTCAGAGACTGTTATCCAGTTTTTCCAGTCCCCAATTTCACCTGAAACAGTAACATCACACAATCCATAAGAGCTTAAGTAAGGCAAGCGTACAGGCAGTAACAGAAGATCAGATACTCATGCAAAAGTATATATCTCTGAGTATTCAAGTACACTGGACATGATTACCAGAAGAAATATTACTTGGTGATCTCGTTCAATTGTCTTCCTCGGCCTTACAGGACATGGACGACCCTTTACTTCACGCCACACTTGAAACCACGTCCTTGCGTCATATAAGCCAATAAATTTCCACTGTGCATATTTTAAAAAAATATGTCCTGCCATATCAAGAATGGTTAATTTTTAACACAGTGTCTTTGAAATGAGTTCTCAAAACTATAAAGGACTGAAATACTTTGACCCACTCTAACAGATGTGTGTTCTCCAACTAGCAATAAAACACTTTAGAGAGAGAGAGTGCTTTAAACAAGATGATTACCTAAAGCTATAAGTTACCTAAGTCACATCGAGAAATACATATGTACACTCACCTTTCCTATAGACTACTTGTTGACCTTTCTTCCAGAAGTCGGACACATTAAATACCTGCTCCTTCAGCTCTGCGTCTGCCGTTCTCATCTTCTTAAAGCTGCACGCTTCTGCTATTTGCTCACACAGTTCATCACTGACAGACAATCCAATGAAGTCGGCAACCGTTTTGATGTTCTTGACAGGATCCTAAAATCAACACAATTTGGGTTATCGATCTTTACCTAATACCGCAGGGCAGTGCCCGTTCTGGTGAAGTTGCCCCAAATCAGATCCCCCCCGCTCCCTTTGCATAACCTTCCATCGGCCCAACGTCTGAAGGACCATCAGATGTATAGTATACGTCCATGTTTGACGTTGGCTCACAATGAACCTGGTGAGCCCATGTGTTGAGATGGAGATGACCATTAAGTCTTACCGACACTTGTCATGTAAGCCTTTAACATACCAAATTTACCAACCTTTTTCAAGTTTTCATAAAACAATGTCAAGACTGGCAAATCAGGGTGATCCTGTTTCACTTGCAGCCAATCCTTCACGTAGTCAGCATAAGATCCACCAAAAGCTGAAACAATGGAAGTAATGATGAAATCAAACCGAAATCATTTGGTTACAGCCCGAGTGCAGCATGACCAACATTTAGGCAGCAGAGTTTATCAGAATGGTTAAACTCACATTCGAAACGAATCCCCTTAATCCCCTTGAATTTCAGTTTTGAGCTAGCTGAGAACACCCCAAACCTACATTCAATTTGAAAGGTGATTTCTAAATCAACATTCAGTTGGCAGCATGTTAGACAGTTTCACTTACATTCAATTAGCAACATGTTGGAAAGTTTAAGCTTACATTCAGTTAGCAGCTTTTTGGACAGTTTTCATCTACATTTCAGTTAGCAACATGTGAGCCAGTATTAATTTACATCTGTTAAAAGCTCTTCAGTACCAAATCAAAGTCAGAAGCAGCACGTTAGTTAAATCTTTGAACAACCATTCAGTTAGCAGCAAACATACGCATCACAAACCAAACACACATACACATCACTCCTTCTAAACCCACACACACACATACACATCAGTTCTTCTAAACACAAACAAACGTACATATCACTCTTTCTAAACCCAAACACACGTCCATATCACTCCTTCTAAACACACATACGCATCACTCCTTCTAAACCCAAACACACGTACACATCACTTCTTCTAAACACAAACAAACGTACATATCACTCCTTCTAAACCCAAACACACACATACACATCACTGCTTCTAAACCCAAACACACGTACATATCACTTCTTCTAAACACAAACACACGTACATATCACTCCTTCTGAACCCAAACACACGTACACATCACTCCTTCTAAACCCAAACACACGTACATATCACTTCTTCTAAACCCAAACACACGTACATATCACTCCTTCTGAACCCCAAAACACTTACACATCACTGCTTCTAAACCCAAACACACGTACACATCACTCCTTCTAAACCCAAACACACGTACATATCACTCCTTCTGAACCCAAACACACGTACATATCACTCCTTCTAAACCCAAACACACGTACATATCACTCCTTCTAAACCCAAACACACGTACATATCACTCTTTCTGAACCCCAAACACACGTACATATCACTCCTTCTAAACCCCAAACACACGTACACATCACTCCTTCTAAACCCAAACACACGTACATATCACTCCTTCTAAACCCAAACACACGTACACATCACTCCTTCTAAACCCAAACACACGTACGCATCACTCCTTCTAAACCCAAACACACGTACGCATCACTCCTTCTAAACCCAAACACACGTACATATCACTCCTTCTTAACCCAAACACACATACATATCACTCCTTCTAAGCCCAAACACACGTACATATCACTCCTCTAAACCCAAAACACGTACATATCACTGACCTTTTCCTTCTAAGAACAGATCCAGATATTCTGAACACGTCCCCTCAAAACTATACTTGATGTTATTTACTCCGTTGAGCATGAAATAAGTAGATACGCTCACATCTTTGGGATTTCGCATGATGAAAATTGTTTTTATCCTTTTCTCCACCATCTTCTGTGGCAGATGACGGAAATTTAGATGTGAGTTTAGAACTCTCGGGGATGGGAGTTCATCAACCTCCTCTATCTTCCCCGGCCCCAACATGGCGACCCTCTTTGTCTTTTTGTTGTACTCAGAGTGACCTGCCCTGAGCATAGTGACGATTTCCCACAACCAGTGAGTACCTAAAGAGATCGGAATAGACAGCATAGTGTGAGTGCCGAATTGGGTTTTACGCCTCTTTGAACCTATACAATCTTGCTGTAGATTTCAACAACGTTCATTCACTCTTTTCATCAATTTTGCAAACATTTGCCACAAGACAATTAATTGAGCAAATTTTGTAAATCTGTCAAGGTCTTACCACATTTTGCATATGCCACTATCACCACGTCATCGTCCCTAAATTCAAATTTCTGAACTTTTCGGATCATTTCCATGTCATCCTCAGGGGTAGTGGCAATCGTCCGGAGGACGCCGTCATTTTTGTAGAAGGACCATCCATGACCATTTTCATTCCGGTAGTCCAGAATCTCGGGAGTTCTATGAAGAATCAGTGGTTGGGTTTGATTTAACGCTGCTTTGAAAGTTATGACGGTTTGTATTCATTTGTGTTAGGAGCCTGCTTGGTGCTATTTACAAACAAATGACTATCTTGCCCACAAACCAAGGATTAATATAATGTCGAACCAGAGTTTTGACTTTGTGGTTCCTAGCCCTTGCAGGGGACGTAGTTCTGTACGTTAAGTGAGTGCCAGTTGTATTTAGATAGATAACATCGGCACAAGAGTGAAAGCCAAGTTGTTGTAATTTGAAGGAATGCATACCTTGGCAGCTGTCTTCTCCTGAATTTAACGAGTTCGAATTAACTAGTACCTCCTTTGATTAGTTACAGAAGCACCTACATTCATGACCAATTGGAGTTATTCTGAGACAATATGTTTAATATGGAAAAACAGATTGCATTGACGCAGAAAAATAAGTGGAACAAATACTTACCGCTGACCTTCCATATTGATCAGTATGTTTGATCAACGCTTGTTACTGACTTTCTTCAGTGACTTTGCTACTATCCTGAAGAAGGAATCGTCCCAACCAAAGTTCCTGTTCCCTGTTAATAAGCAACACTGTTCCTGTCGACTGTGTAAGTGTTGATTCTAGAGGAGCAGGGCAAGGACTGCTCTACGCGAGGATGTTTATGCTAGATCCACAGGAGGGTGTCTCACAGCTATTTCAGTCAACCTGACACGCTCTTATCAAGGCTGATTATGCAAGTCAGGGATCTAGAAAAAAAATACGTTATTCAGACAAGTGCAGTATATTCGGTGTGCAGACTTGCGTTCCTCGGGCACCCCAAAAAACCTATGACGGTGGTTTGTGGAAAGCCAGTTCACACTGAATATGTTTCCTGGCTTCGCTATGGCATACCCATAGGAGTAGGTCGGTTGCATGAGTGGTGAATGTGATCAATTGTTACGCCAGGATTTTGTAATTGCTTCAAGCATCAGTTAAGAAGATCCGACAGAAAACGGAAATATTTCCAATGTGTCAGTGAACCACATTAAATGTTCACAGACGACCTTGCTGCTGATCTAAATTCTTAGTAGTAAAATGGCATCGAAACATTGTGTTCTCATTAATCCCTATAGGGAACATTACTGAATTATTCAATTCCCTGTTTTACTTGTACCGTATGTTCCCATGTTATTTTCATGGAGACAGTTGACTTGTCTTTTTATGTATATATGTGTTTATCTTTTCTCCAATTCCTGTGATCAATATTTGACAACGGTTGCCGAACACATGCTCATAATTCCTCATAACCCGGGTGCGATTCCCAACATGTGTATGTAGCCGTGTTTATGCAGTTCGGCTCTGGGCTGCTGCTCAAGACGACACAAGGCAATGGTGATGAAATGAATTTTATTATGTGAAGAATGAAGCTGTTGCTGAGGTCAAACCTGAGAAGGGAAAGAATGTTTCCAGCTCAGCAACAGCAAGTGGAGTCATAAAAATTAAACTCAAGTAAATAATTTTAACAAATGTTAACAATTAATATTAAATAGTTTTAAATATCACAGTAAACACATTATCAATTCAACTACCAGTTATTGCACTCTTGAACAAAAAACCGAAAGCACATGAATTGTAAAGTAATATTTTAACTAAATTTATATAATTATCAATTAAATATTACTTTTAATGTTATAATATTATTATTGCAAGAACATTTTACACCTTTTTATAGGAATTTATAAAGTAAAGAGGCAGATGGAAACAGATTAGAAAAAAACTTGTTCTTTGGCCATACCTGAGAAGGGAAAGAATGTTTCCAGCTCAGCAACAGCAAGTGGAGTGAGGTGGAAAACAGGTGGCCAAAGGATGTAAGGTCAGAGGACACAATAGCCAATTAGAAAGTAGGTAGCACATCAAAGGAAGTCTTTGATGTGACCTATTAATAGAAAAGGGAAAATCCCAAAGAATGGGTTACCTGGCTAAGAATAGAGAAGAAGTGAAGGGAAATCCTTGTTGACAAGGGTACATGAAACAGAAGGAAAAGGTGAAGATGTACAGAGGCGGCATTCAACGGCAAGACTCGGACAACATGGAACAAATGAACATTTAACATTTGATGATATTTATGAAACATGATGAAATGAATTGTGATGTGATTCAGCACTAAAATAAAAGCACTGCTACATGTACATTGAGTGAAACAGATTTCTGGAATATAGCTAACAGTAGTGTAAAATGTAACTCACCCACCCACCGACTGCTAACCAGCTGTTGGGAGTCCTCCATTTTGGGTTCTTGTTCTGTCTACTTTTCAGCAGAATATCATTGTATTTTTGTTACTGTAATAGTGACTAATTCAGGACAGCCATCGTCCAAATATTTAAAAAGTCCAAAAACTATATAATCAAGAAATATGAGAGTTGTAATTATTTAATCTGCATTCTTAATCCTAATCACTACCGCAGTATACATTGTCTTGTCGGCCACCCTGTACCACTCTGTCACTGCTATTAAATATTCTATATGACATTTCTGCCTTAATTGGTCATCCCCCTTGACCGTGTCTGCCATCACATCAACTGGTCAAGGAAGTGCTATTGTTTCTCTATATGTCCATTGTACAGTCGTCGCCTGTCCATTGTTGTCAAAAACTGTATATATATATGCTCACATCTGTATTGTCAAGGAGTCCGGTATTCCGACTGTCTGTAGGGACGACCGCGAGCTGGATAATGCAGCTCGTAGGCAGCACCCTTGGGTTGCGCAGGAACTCCGCTCACCTCATTCTTGTATACTTGTTTGCCATGTCTTGTGTATCCAACTAAAGAAGATTGAACTCACCCATGCCTTCGTCTTTGTCAACGCACTTTTTATCTTAATTATGAGCTAATTTCCCCAGTCAACCGTATCCACGCATTGACATTACCTTTAATGCTGGCGAACCTAGTCTTCCATTGCTGCTGCTCACAAGTACCTTGCATGTGTTTCTACGATGGATCTGCGAACATCTGGTAGCGTCATTATTGTAACGGTGAGTCCTTAAGGCATGTTTATTATATACTGAACCGTAAAAGAAAACAAAATTGTTCTTACAAGGTGGTGTTTCTGTTATGACTGTACCATTTTGTTCACATGTTTTTCAATTCAAACTGACAGTTATTACCAACATTAGTGTATTTTCTGATGAAAAGCATATCGACCAAACGCACCTAAAAGGGCAGACATGGTAAAAGGTTCCGTAAGACATTTGTGAAAATAAAAATACACGTGCCTATCGTGACAACCCTACCAACGAAAGCGAGACCCAAACTCGCCTGAAATCATTTTTGCCATGACTTACGAGAGATCAGAGGAACCAAGCCTTACGCTTGGGGCCATTGCAAATTGGCCAGACTGCTCGGTGGATAGCCAATCATGTTAAGAAAATCTACCGACTGCAGGAGCGGTATCTAGCTTCTAACAGCATCCAAGACCGTCCACGGAGTGGGCGACCTCCAGAAACATTACAGCATCAAGACAGACAGACTGTGCGCAACCATCTGCAGGATTGCTTCCCCAGAGCGATGGAAACAGCACGCCAGACCATTCGGGAGTCACAACAGACCCATTAGTGCCGATACAGCACGTCGACGTTTGTGCGGAAGAAACCTCTGCCGTCATATCATGTTCCTGACCATATCGTGTTCCTGTCCTCACCGCTTGTCACCGCCAAAGCCGACTGCAATGGGCAACTCAGCATCAAAATTGGCAATATCGATTATGGAGAACTGTGCCTTTTATTTTGATGAAACCCGATATTGTGTTTCGACAGCCGATGGCAGAGTGAGAGTATGGCGAAAACAAGGGGAACTGTTTTCCAATGAGTGTATTGTTGAAGGAGACTCGTTTGGTGCTCCAATCATCATGTTGTTGGGTGCAATCGGTCTAGAGAACTAGAGAGTTGGCCCCGTGGTGTTCCAGAATCTCGGTCCAGGGTGAGGAAATGAAGTGACAGATGCTCGCTATACTGACCAAGTCATAAGACCCCATGTTGTAACACATTTTGGACGTCACAGAAATCACATCTTCCCGCAAGAAAACGCTCGTGACCACACTGCCAGAGCAACATTGGGCTTCCAAAGACAACATCACATCCAAACCCTACAGTGGCCTGCACTCAGTTCGGATTTAAGTCCAACAGAACACCTTTGGGACGAGATTCAAAGAAGACCGAATGACCTCCAGCCAATGCTGACAACTGCGGTTGGAATCGATCTGGCATTTCGCAGAGTATGGACCCAAATGCCTGTAGTCTTCATCAACCGGCTAATTCACTCCATGTACAGAAGATGCAACGCTTTCATCGATGCCCATGGAGGCCACATACGGTATCTTAATGGTATCATTTTTGGTGATTTTGTTTGTGTGAACTCTAAATGTGATTCCCGAAAGTGTGTTAACCATAATTGCCAAGTTTGAACTCAATCCTCCGTTTTGATTGTTTTGTTGTTTGTTAGAGTGAAGTAAATTTTGTGTTTTCAGAAACTCTATCGGTAAGACGTTTCTTTTGTGGTTCCGTATAGTTTGATTTGTACACTTATTAAAAGAGTGTTGGGGAATCAGCTCGCTAGGCAAGAGGTTGACAATACCAACCCCCCACTCAACACAACACGAGTAAATAAACGGGGAGTTTATTACTCAGCAATCACAGGATCTTTTATTACATAATCAGTCAATAATTAATTCTTAAAACATGTTCACAACGCAATCAGCTTTCAAACTACATAAACATCACATGTAGATTCATTACGCATTTATCACAACGTAATACAATAGTTCAATACAGTGGGTATCCATACAGTCACAAAACAGAAGAGTGCCCACAACGTAATGTAATACTAGTAGTTAGGGTACCCGACACACTCTATACAATCTATAAGTCACTAAACGCGAAGTGTTATTCAGTATTAAATAAATCATCCTAAACAGAAATATGTGAAAGGATGCCACGTTCCACATACACGTGAAGGTAGTGCCAAGGGTCCAAATATATGTACAATAGATTTAATGGTGAATATTTATCAAAGTAGAAGAAAGTAAAATTACAAACATGAATGAAGTTACCAGACAACCACCGAATGATTGGTGACTGTCGTCCGTATTATATACCTATTCCATTTACTGACAAAACTTACAATAACCTTCATATTGTGACCTTGAGATTATGTCATTTACTTTGACCGAAGTATCAACAGCCAGTTGAGAGTATGCCACGAACGTATATGTGGCACGCACGGGATTTGTCCATGAGATATAAACCTACAATACAGGTAAACGCAATGCACCTTGTTTCTATTAGCTTCACAGATACTCGTCCCAGATTTTGGCCTATGCTCGTTATCAACGTGACCCCAGGAAGGTGAGATATAAACATACACTATATATAAACGTAATGCACCTTGCTTCTATTAGCTTCACAGATACTCGTCCCAGATTCCTATGCACATTATCAATGTGACCCTTGGCAGGTGTAAGATAGTGGAACATGGTTACTAGTCTGTGATACTTTTAGTTTTCAATAACATGTAACGTCATAAAATATTTGTTAAACTTTATCAGTTTAATCAATCAATCAATAGTTTATTCAGTAGTATGGCCACATGGCCTAGAGTACAGTTTTTTTAAGGGTACATATATATATATATATATATATATTTATAATCACGTTATAGCTATTGAACGAAAAACATTTTTCAAGAATATCGTAACGGATGTGAGGGGTTTTACCTTTTTTAAATCTAACAGGTCAATTTAATCCATATTTACAGACATAATACATTCATAGATTGTTTTATGCTTTGCTCATGTGTTACGAACATTTACACATAATACTAGCTTCAAGGACATAGCCTTTTTAATATATGCAGTTTTAAACCCCAAAACCGGTAAATACATTGTAAATATATACAGTTACTTATATTTTCCCTTAGTTTTGTTTTCACTTGTAAAGGGTTATAACATGAATAACTGTTGATGACACAAAACAAATACAACTCACTCACTCATCCATCCTGTGAAAACATGGATTGATTCTTCACAACATAACCTCCATTTCAGTGTCAACAAAATAATTTGAAATGGTCAGAGGTTAAAATTTGTGGTTTGACATGAACATACAGCATAGAGATGAATAGTCATTGATATATCCTTGATGATATGTGGTATTTAGTGTCCACAACCCCATGATCACCATATAACCCGTTATTCATCCTCAGGCTGCTCACAAAAACGGAGGGGGTGGACATCTTCTGGAGGATGGTCATGATAAGTCACAACATAGTCACCGAGTGTAGTGCATTTGCCGCAGCACGTTGTTACAATACATCTCCAGTAAGTACAAGTCTGGGGCTGCATGTTCTTGTAATTACAGGTAACCCTGAAAGAGTACCTGAACACTGCCTCATGAATTGGTGATATATTCTACTTGCCGAAGGCCATCCATAATGATGATCGAAAAGAGCAGTCAGAGGTTAATAATTCATATTTATTAATTATATTTAAAACAGTTATTGTTACATTTGTAAACACGTAAATTTGAGTAGATAAGCCTTCACAAAGCGATTAATTTATCTCTTAAAATTTCACCTGCACCAGATTCAGTTACATAGCTAATCCCTACATAGCTAGGGTTAACCCATTCTATCATATAGGGGAGTATGGTCTGTTTTCTGTGGTAGTTACCTACTCCACTGTCTCACAAATGGGAGTAGGCCATTAAGGGATCTAACTGAAATACTGTCAAGAGGTGTCGCGAAATGACCATATTATTTGTTTGTTGTTTGTTGACGAACACAGCAATATTCCAGCTATCTGTAAATAATCCAATCTGTGCCAGACAATACAGTGATCAACAGCATGAATTGGAAAACGGTGACATGTGTCAACCAAATCAGCGAGTGTGACCACACGTTCGAGTTAACTGCCTCTTTTCTAACCATATTAACAGACGTGTTAATCCAATTATTTTGTATGTTTCATTCCACATGTGATGAACAGAGGAAAAATAAGACACGCTTGAAGTCAGTAAAGTTCCTGAATACATGCATTGTCGTTCCTAACAGTGCTAAATACACTGTAAATCTACATGTAAGCATATTTCTCTTTGTAACATTGCTATTTAGTGTATTTATTTGAAAATATATGTAAGTATTTATGCAAAAGGGGCGGGCTATATGACCTGGGAGACATTTGCCCAGTACCTTTGAGAATGTATTTATACAATGCCACAACTTAGAGATTGTTCATGATGGCGAAAATGCTCACTCAGCCACGTCCATCTTCTAATAACATTGGTTCAATCCTTGACTTTACTCCGATTTCAGTGTCAAATTCACTGGATAAATTCTGTCTCAGATCAATGGCCAGATATATGTTCTAATAATCACGATATTTTATGTTTATATTCTACGACACCATTTACGGAGACAACCCTATAGTCCGTTGTCTAATCATACTTGAAAACAATTCCTGTGCCTTCAAATGCTCTCTCAATGACATCATCAAATCTCTCGTTTTCAGAGACTGTTATCCAGTTTTTCCAGTCCCCAATTTCACCTGAAACAGTTACATCACATAATCCATAAGAGCTTAAGTAAGGCAAGCGTACAGGCAATAACCAAAGATCAGATACTCATGCAAAAGTATATATCTCTGAGTATTCAAGTACACTGGACATGATTACCAGAAGAAATATTACTTGATGATCTCGTTCAATGGTCTTCCTCGGCCTTACAGGACATGGACGAAACTTTACTTCACGCCACACTTGAAACCACGTCCTTGCGTCATATAAGCCAATAAATTTCCACTGTGCATATTTAAAACAAATATGTCCTGCCATATCAAGAAAGGTTAATTTTTAACACAGTGTCTTTGAAATGAGTTCTCAAAACTATAAAGGACTGAAATACTTTGACCCACTCTAACAGATGTGTGTTCTCCAACTAGCAATAAAACACTTTAGAGAGAAAGTGCTTTAAACATTCATTCATTACACGCGTGAATAGTCACATAGTGAAATACATATGTACACTCACCTTTCCTAAAGACTACTTGTTGACCTTTCTTCCAGAAGTCGGACACATTAAATACCTGCTCCTTCAGCTCTGCGTCTGCCTGTCTCATCTTCTTAAAGCTGCACGCTTCTGCTATTTGCTGACATAGTTCATCACTGACAGACAATCCAATGAAGTCGGCAACCGTTTTGATGTTATTGACAGGATCCTAAAATCAACACAATTTGGGTTATTGACCTTTACCAAATACCGCTGGGCAGTGCCCGTTCTGGTGAAGTTGCCCCAAATCAGATCCCCCCTCTCCCTTTGCATAACCTTCCATCGGCCCCATGTCTGAATTACCATCAGATGTATAGTATACGTCCATGTTGGACGTTGGCTCACAATGAACCTGGTGAGCCCATGTGTTGAGATGGAGATGACCATTAAGTCTTACCGACACTTGTCATGTAAGCCTATAACATACCAAATTTACCAACCCTTTTCAAGTTTTCATAAAACAATGTCAAGACAGGCAAATCAGGGTGATCCTGTTTCACTTGCAGCCAATCCTTCACGTAGTCAGCATAAGATCCACCGGGAACTGAAACAATGGAAGTAATAATCAAATCAAACCGAAATCATTGTTACAGCCCGAGTGCAGCATGACCAACATTTAGGCAGCAGTTTATCAGAATGGTTAAACTCACATTCGAAACGAATCCCCTTAATCCCCTTGAATTTCAGTTTTGAGCTAGCTGAGAACATCCCAAACCTACATTCAATTTTAAAGGTGATTTCTAAATTAAAAATTCAGTTGGCAGCATGTTAGACAGTTTCACCTACATTCATTTAGCAACATGTTGGAAAGTTTAAGCGTACATTCAGTTAGCAGCTTTTTGGACAGTTTTCGTCTAAATTTCAGTTAGCAACATGTGAGCCAGTATTAATTTACATCTGTTAAAAGCTCTTCAGTACCAAATTACCATCACAAGCAGCACGTTAGTTAAATCTTTGAACAACCATTCAGTTAGCAGCATGTCAGACACATTCAGACAGCGCAGGACGCGAGAGCTTCTAAACCCAAACACACGTACCTATCACTCCTTCTAAACCCGAACACACGTACATATCACTCCTTCTTAACCCAAAGACACGAACATATCACTCCTTCTAAACCCAAACACACGTACATATCACTCCTTCTAAACCCAAACACACGTACATATCACTCCTTCTAAACCCAAACACACGTACATATCACTCCTTCTAAACCCATACACACGTACATTTCACTCCTTCTTAACCCATACACACGTACATATCACTCCTTCTAAACACAAACACACGTACATATCACTCCTTCTGAACCCAAACACACGTACATATCATTCCTTCTAAACCCAAACACACGCATATATCACTCCTTCTAAACCCAAAACACGTACATATCACTCCTTCTTAACCCATACACACGTACATATCACTCTTTCTAAACCCAAAACACGTACATATCACTCCTTCTAAGCCGAAACACACGTACATATCACTCCTTCTAAACCCAAACACACGTACATATCACTCCTTCTAAACCCAAACACACGTACATATCACTCCTTCTAAACCCAAAACACGTACATATCACTCCTTCTAAGCCCAAACACACGTACATATCACTCCTTCTAAGCCCAAACACACGTACATATCATTCCTTCTAAACCCAAACACACGTACATATCATTTCTTCTAAACCCAAACACACGTACATATCACTCCTTCTAAACCCAAACACACGTACATATCACTCCTTCTAAACCCAAAACACGTACATATCACTTCTTCTAAACCCAAACACACGTACATATCACTCCTTCTAAGCCCAAACACACGTACATATCACTCCTTCTAAGCCCAAACACACGTACATATCATTCCTTCTAAACCCAAACACACGTACATATCACTCCTTCTAAGCCCAAACACACGTACATATCACTCCTTCTAAACCCAAAACACGTACATATCACTCACCTTTTCCTTCTAAGAACAGATCCAGATATTCTGTAAACGTCCCGTCAAAACTAAACTTGGTGTTCTTTACTCCGTTTAACATGAAATAATAAGATACGCCGACATCTTTGGGATTTCGCATGATGAAGATTGTTTTTATCCTCTTCTCCACCATCTTCTTTGGCAGATGACGGAAATGTAGATGTGAGTTTAGAACTCTCGGGGAGGGGAGTTCATCAACCTCCTCCAACTTCCCCGGCCCCAACATGGCCACCCTCTTTGTCTTTTTGTTGTACTCAGAGTGACCTGCCCTGAGCATGGTGACGATTTCCCACAACCAGTGAGTACCTAAAGAGATCGGAATAGACAGCATAGTGTGAGTACCGAATTGGGTTTTACGCCTCTTTGAACCTATACAATATTGCTGTAGATTTCAACAACGTTCATTCACTCTTTTTATCAATATTGCATTCATTTTACCAAAAATAATTAATTGAGCAAATCTTGTAAATCTGTCAAGATCTTACCACATTTTGCATATGCCACTATCACCACATCATCGTCCCTAAATTCAAATTTCTGAACTTTTCGCATCATTTCCATGTCGTCTTCAGGGGTAGTGTCAATCTTCCGGAGGACGCCGTCATTTTTGTAGAAGGACCATCCATGACCATTCTCATTCCGGTAGTCCAGAATCTCGGGAGTTCTATGAAGAATCAGTGGTTGGGTTTGATTTAACGCTGCTTTGAAAGTTATAACGGTTTGTATTCATTTGTGTGAGGAGCCTGCTTGGTGCTATTTACAAAAAAATGACTATCTTGCCCACAAACCAAGGATTAATATAATGTCGAACCAGAGTTTTGACATGTGGTTCCTAGCCCTTGCAGGGGATGTAGTTCTGTACGTTAAGTGAGTGCCAGTTGTATTTAGATAGATAACATCGGCACAAGAGTGAAAGCCAAGTTGTTGTAATTTGAAGGAATGCATACCTTGCCAGCTGTCTTCTCCTGAATTTAACAAGTTCAAATTAACTAGTACCTCCTTTGATTAGTTACACAAACACCTACATTCATGACCAATTCGAGTTATTCTGAGACAATATGTTTAATATGGAAAAACAGATTGCATTGACGCAGAAAGATAAGTGGAACAAATACTTACCGCTGACCTTCCATATTGATCAGTATGTTTGATTTGTAACTGACTTTCTTCAGTGACTTTGCTACTACCCGACGAAGGAATCGTCCAAACCAAAGTTCCTGTTCCCTGTTAATAAGCAACACTGTTCCTGTCGACTGTGTAAGTGTTGATTCTAGAGGAGCAGGGCAAGAACTACTACGCGAGGATGTTTATGCTAGACCCACAGGAGGGTGTCTCACAGCTATTTCAGTCAACTTGACACGCTCTTATCAAGGCTGATTATGCAAGTCATGGATCTAGAAAAAATAAGTACGTTATTCAGACAAGTGCAGTATATTCGGTGTGCAGACGTGCGTTCCTCGGGCACCCCAAAAACCTATGACGGTGGTTTGTGGAAAGCCAGTTCACACTGAATATGTTTCCTGGCTTCTCTATGGCATACCCATAGGAGTAGGTGGGTTGCATGAGTGGTGAATGTGATCAATTGTTACGCCAGGATTTTTTAATTGCTTAAAGCATCAGTTAAGACAATCCGACACAAAACGGACGCTCCAGTGGAATATTTCCAATGTGTCAGCAGCCCACGTAAAATGTCCACATACGACCTTGCTGCTGATCAAAATTCTTAGTGGTAAAATGGCACCGAAACATTGTGTTTTCATTAATCCCTAATGCACTGGAATATTCAACGTGTTTGTATTTGAAATTAAAATTGCACTCGAACTGAATATGTTTCAGCATTGTAGTTAAGTAGTTATCACCTGTGCATAAGAGGTATATTATTCGCAGAAGTATGGAGAGTTATCGAACTTTGTTTTGTTTTCGTCAATTTTCAATAGTCAACTTCTACTTTATGTGGAGCAATATTCCAGCATCTCAAGCCTCTGGTGTCAGCAGCACATAGCTGAGGCACAATCGAGCATGATCAATTCTATCCAGATTTTACACAGCGTCACAGCACTTAAATCAGTGTTGCAAAAGAGGCCTCTGCAGATGTTTCAATCATCCTTTGTATTAGAGATATAGGGAACATTACCGAATTATTCAATTCCCTGTTTTACTTGTCCGTATGTTCCAATGTTATTTTCAGGGAGACAGTAGACTTGTCTTTGTATGTATATATTTGTTCATCTTTTCTCCAATTCCTGTGATCAATATTTGATAACGGTTTCCGAACACATGCTCATAATTCCTTATTTGGGAAATACTACTTATGAACATAAACAGGGGAACCATGCATGTCACTGTAAAACGTTTGCACGGCACGATGAAAACCCGGGTGCGATTCCCAACATGTGTACATTGAGTGAAACAGATTGCTGGAATATTGCTATCAGTAGTGTAAAATGTAACTCACCCACCCACCGACTGCTAATCAGCTGTTGGGAGTCCTCCATTTTGGGTTCTTGTTCTGTCTGCTTTTCGGCAGAATATTATTGTATTTTTGTTAATTCAGGACAGCCATCGTCCAAATATTTAAAAAGTCCAAAAACTATATATCAAGAAATATGAGAGTTGTAATTATTTAATCTACATTCTTAATCCTTATCACTACCGCAGTGTACATTCTCTTGTCAGCCACCCTGTACCACTCTGTCACTGCTATTAAATATTGTATATGACTTTTATTGCCTTAATTGGTCATCCCCCTTGACCGTGTCTGCCATCACATCAACTGGTCAAGGAAGTGCTATTGTGTCTCTATATGTTCATTGTTGAGTCGTCGCCTGTCCATTGTTGTCAAAACTGTATATATATGCTCGCATCTGTATTGTCAAGGAGTCCGGTATTCCGACTGTCTGTAGGGACGACCGCGAGCTGGATGATGCAGCTCGAAGGCAGCACCCTGGGGTTGCGCAGGAACTCCGCTCACCTCATTCTTGTATACTTGTTTGCCAGGTCTTGTGTAACCAACTAAAGAACTTTGAACTCACCTATGCCTTCGTCTTCGTCAACGCACTTTTTATCTTAATTATGAGCTAATTTCCCCAGTCAACCGTATCCACGCATTGACATTACCTTTAATGCTGGCGAACCTAGTCTTCCATTGCTGCTGCTCACAAGTACCTTGCATGTGTTTCTACGATGGATCTGCGAACATCTGGTAGCGTCATTATTGTAACGGTGAGTCCTTAAGGCATGTTTATTATATACTGAACCGTAAAATAAAATAAAATAGTTCTTGCAAGGTGGTGTTTCTGTTATGACTGTACCATTTTGTTCACATGTTTTTCATTTCAAACTGACAGTTATTACCAACATCAGTGTATTTTCTGATGAAAAACCATATCGACCAAACGCACCTAAAAGGGAAGACATGGTAAAAGGTTCCGTAACACATTTGTGAAAATGAAAATACACGTGCATATCGTGACAATCCTACCAACAAAAGCGAGACCCAAACTCGCCTGAAATAATTTTTGCCACGAGAGATCAGAGGAACCAAGCCTTACGCTTGGGGCCATTGCAAGTTGGCCAGACTGCTCGGTGGATAGTCAATCATGTTAAGAAAATCTACCGACTGCAGGAGCGGTATCTAGCTTCTAACAGCATCCAAGACCGTCCACGCACTGGGCGATCTCCAGCAACATCACAGCATCAAGACCGACAGACTGTGCGCAACCATCTGCAAGTTTGCTTCCCCAGAGCGACGGAAACAGCACGCCAGACCATTCGGGAGTCACAACAGACCCATTAGTGCCGATACAGCGCGTCGACGTTTGCGCTGAAAAAAGCTCTGCTGTCATGTCGTGTTCCTGACCATATCGTGTTCCTGTCCTCACCGCTTGTCGCCGCCAAAACCGGCATCAAAATTGGCGTTATCGATTATGGAGAACTGTGCTTTTTTTCTGATGAAACCCGATATTGTGTTTCGACAGCCGATGGCAGAGTGAGAGTATGGCGAAAACGTGGGGAACTGTTTTCCAATGAGTGTATTGTTGAAGGAGACTCGTTTGGTGCTCCAATCATCATGTTGTTGGGTGCAATCGGTCTAGAGAACTAGAGAGTTGGCCCCGTGGTGTTCCAGAATCTCGGTCCAGGGTGAGGAAATGAAGTGACAGATGCTCGCTATACTGACCAAGTCATAAGACCCCATGTTGTAACACATTTTGGACGTCACAGAAATCACATCTTCCCGCAAGAAAACGCTCGTGACCACACTGCCAGAGCAACATTGGGCTTCCAAAGACAACATCACATCCAAACCCTACAGTGGCCTGCACTCTGTCCGGATTTAAGTCCAACAAAACACCTTTGGGACGAGATTCAAAGGAGACCGAATGACCTCCAGCCAATGCTGACAACTGCGGTTGGAATCAATCTGGCATTTCGCAGAGTATGGACCCAAATGCCTGTAGTCTTCATCAACTGGCTAATTCACTCCATGTACAGAAGATGCAACGCTTTCATCGATGCCCATGGAGGCTACATACGGTATCCTAATGGTATTATTTTTGGTGATTTTGTTTGTGTGAACTCTAAATGTGATTCCCGAAAATGTGTTAACCATAATTGCCAAGTTTGAACTCAATACTTCCTTTTGATTGTTTTGTTGTTTGTTTGTGTGATGTAAATTTTGTGTTTTAAGAAATTCTATTGGTAAGACGTTTCTTTTATGGTTCCGTATAGTTTGATTTGTACACTTATTAAAACGCGAGTATTGGTGAATCTGCTCGCTAGGCAAGAGGTTGACAATACCAACCCCCACCCAACACAACACGAGTCAATAAACGGGGAGTTTATTACTCAGCAGTCACAGGATCTTATATTACATAATCAGTCAATAAATAATTTTTAAAACATGTTCACAACGCAATCAGCATTCAAAGTACATAAACATCACATGTAGATTCGTTACGCATTTATCACAACGTAATACAATAGTTCAATACAGTGGGTATCCATACAGTCACAAAACAGCAGAGTTTCCACAACGTAATGTAATACTAGTAGTTTGGGTACCCGACACACTCTATACAATTTATAAGTCACAAAACCGGGAAGTGTTATTCAGTATTAAATAAATAATGCTAAACAGAAATATGTGAAAGGATGTCACGTTCCACATACACGTGAAGGTAGTGCCAAGGGTCTAAAGATATGTACAATAGATTAAAGTTAACACAGAAACAAATGGTAAAGATTTATCAAAGTAGAAGATAGTAAAATAACAAACATGAATGAAGTTACCAGATAACCACCGAATGATTTGTGACTGTCGTCCGTATTATATACCTATTCCATTTACTGACAAATCTTACAATAACCTTCATATTGTGACCTTGAGTTAATGTCATTTACTTTGACCGAAGTATCGACAGCCAGTTGATAGTATGCCACGAACGTATATGTGGTCCGCGCGTGATTTGGCAATACAGGTAAACGCAATGCACCTTGTTTCTATTAGCTTCACAGATATTCGTCCCAGATTTTGTCCTATGCTCGTTATCAACGTGACCCCAGGAAGCATATCCTGCTTAAATGCGTGGACATATCGTCTGCAAGGGACTCACATTATGATGCAACAAATCTGAAAGATCTGTTCTCCCGCGTGAGCGATCCATCTGATAGTGAACTACCTGAGGGAAGTTGATCTGTATCATAAATTGTGACTGTGAAATGTGACTAACAAATTGCCTACCTTTAAATTTGGTGCTATGACTTTTTCTGCTTTTAAATGACAATGTAATTAATATATGTTTTTGAAATAAAACTCATTCCGAGTATGTACTTAAAATGTCTATTAATGCAAACTTGTTTTCGTCACTATATGGCTGGAGTAATGCCGATGTCACGCAAAACTCAACTCAACAACTCAACCAGGATGGTGTGATATAAACATACATTATATATAAACGTAATGTACCTTGCTTCTATTAGCTTCACAGATACTCGTCCCAGATTTTGTCCTATGCACATTATCAGTGTGACCCTTGGCAGGTGTAAGATTGTGGAACATGGTAACTGGTCTGTGATATTTTTAGTTTTCAATAACATGTAACGTCATAAAATATTTGTTCAACTTTGTCAGTTTAATCAATCAATCAATTGTTTATTCAGTAGTATGGCCATATATATATGTATATATATAATCACGTTATAGATATTGATACGAAAATCATGTTTCAAGAATCATGTTTCAAGAATATCGTAACGGATTTGAATGGTTTTACCTTTTTGAGTTTAACAGGGGGTTTAATCCATATTTACAGACATAATACATTAATAGATTGTTTTATGCTT